ATATTTTTCTTTCCGTTCTTCTAATTGGTTTAGACGAGAAGTGTTTACACACAAATTATCACCAATTAGTTTCCTACAGTTGGAAAAAAATGAAAAATAACATCTTTTATTATTACCGCCTACTTAACTCGAACATCATGTACTTTTCTGCTAGAGAAAATATATTTTTTTTTATTTTAACGAGCCTGAATGTGTGATGCGTTTAAATTTTTATCACTATACTTTAGAAGAAAAAAAAAATTAACAGATAGAAAGATCTTACGCAGGTTACGCTCATTAGAAAGGGTCTAAGGAATTTCTTCCAGAAAGAAGATTTTTCATTTTTGACGGGGAAAATTTCCCTCACGACAGCTTACTGTGGTTAGTAAACGATTAATACTTATTTAATTAATTAAATTTCACTTTAGACTTTAGACTCTGTTAAAAAAAATTCTTTGATAAATTTTAGTTAATTTTTTATGACAATAATTACTGTTAACTAAGATAAAAGAAGAAATTACGGATTAAAGTTATATTATAATTGAAGTAACCTATTAGTTAGAATTATAATTCTTCGAATAACTAAATTTTGATTTATAAAAACGGTATAATATTGTGGGAACTGAGGACAATATTTGGCGCTTGATAACTTGTTAGCGACGTACATATAGTTGACTTTGAACTTTTCCTTAACTAAACACAAATGTCAGCGGCTAAGATGCCGAAAAAGGATATTGAAAGAATAATAGCTAATTATATTAGTTATTTGATGGTGTATATATTGATATTGATTTGATTATATTGACTACCGTGTGATCAATAACTTGGAATCTTGACGGGCCAAATTAATCAACTAAATAAAAGTGAAAAAGTCATCAAGCACACACTGTCCTCAATTCCTACTGTATTTTATTAATTATTAATAATCATGGGCGTAAACGATTCTTGTTATTGATGATAAAAATCTCATTATTTTTATTTTCTACTAGCAAGTAGTAGTTTTTTCCCGTGAATAGTAATTAGTGTCCGGTGGAACGCAAGGCTAAGGGGATTGACAGTCAAAGTTTTTTTTATCCAACTGGTTGTTATTAAATTTAACATTAGAAATAAAATTTATTCATTTGAAGTCTCTCACAGTTATTTTGGTTACTAAAATTATATGTTGGGTATCAAGTGGAGTTTACGACCCACAGAATTATATAATAATTTTTCTGAATAATTTTCACCGATTTAATTGCTTGGAAAGTCTAATTACGGAAGTTTACGATACTCCGCAGCTGATTTTCGAAATTAGAAGCTCTAAAGAACTAAAAAGTTTCACGGGATCGCGTTTTTATCCATGAAAATCATTGAAGATCAGGCGTTACAATTTTCATTTGAAAAATGTTAATGCGTTCGTTAGTTAAAGAATTTTTAATAAAAGAATAATTCTATTACCTCCATACCTAATAATTAATTCAGCTCCTGTTTTTTATAGCTCTTGCATCTACATAACTATATAAATAAATAAATAAATAAATAAATTAGCATGTACGTATATAATAATACTATATAAAAAATCTAACTTTAAAGCTTAACTTTCCATTGACGAATAAAGATTGTACCGAGATAGCACTTTTGCTCATCCCATGCTTTATTTTATATTTTTTTACTCCATCTATTCTCTTTCATTCTGCACTATCTGGCTTTCATCGTACAAAAAATATAAAAAACCGTATTAACTTCATCTCTCGCTATAGCGCTTGTATGTAGATACAGCTATAAAATATAAATATATATATAAATATACACACATATGTATCGTAGCAAAAAATATGTAACATGCGCATAGAATATATCTCTATAAACAAAAAACAAGTACCCTTGTATAAAATCAAGTCGATTACTCTGCTACCCAATAGACAAAAAAAAAAAAAATAAAAATAAAAACAATTTTAAAATGAAAACTAAATCTAATAAAGTAACTCCAAATCCAGATGTGTAATCTCGGTACAAAGCGCATTGTAAATTGTCAAAGACATTGTACTTGTGTATGCATTGTACTACTTCCTGGAATTATTGAAACACATGAAATTCGAATAAAAACTCGGGGGATGTTGCTAACGTAAAACTTTTTTAAAAATAATAGCAAAAGAAGCTAAAGCTATTTCACCCTCACAACGGGTACGAGGGTACGTAAAAATATATATACATATATAGAAACAGTGGATTGGATTTGTCACCCTTGTGCTCGTGACAATGATCCTAAGAATAATGTATTTAAAAAAATAAGAGAAGAAAGAACCAGAACAAGGCTGAGACATTGGCCAATTTAAAGATCTCAGTTCTTTCCTTTTTTTTTGCCAATATGTATTTATGTATGTAATTATATACACTCAATTATTTTTATTCAAATAATTTAGAATAAAAATTTGAATATATATTCCGGCAGCTCTTCATGAATAAACATGCTCAATATCCAACAATTAAAATGTAAAAACCGTAGACTTGTTATGTAATTGTTACTCAATAAGTAATGAATAAAGAATTAGTTTATAGTTAAAAATATTTAACAAATCATTTATTAGAGACCACTTTTTAGTCTTTAATAAATATTTCTTAATATTTAAAAAAATTGATTAATATTTAATAAATTAATATCAGAATTATTAAATACAAATATATTATTTTAAATAGTAAAAAATATTATGAAAATTAAGTTAGCCGACTTTGGAATTTTTTTATTGAAAAAAAAAATTGTCATTTGTTAAAAATTTGAAAAACTGTAAGTGCAATTTTTTAAAAATATTTTAATTATTAAATGATATTAAACTGACCATTTTTTGATTTTATTTAACAAAAAAATTTGTCTCGAGAAATTATTTTTAAAAAATTGCATTGTTAATTCATTAAATTTTCTACATGTCAATTTTTTTATACAGTAATTTATTTATTAGAAAAATTATTAAATATCTGCTAAACTAATTTTCATAATTATTAAAAAAAAATTAAAAACATCAGCCAACTTTAGTATCATAGAAATATTTGTTTATTATTATTACTAAAAAAAAAAGTCTCTAATAAATGATTCAACTATTAAAAAATATTTTTTGATACAAATAAATGTCTGAGATGATACTATTAAAGTTAGCCAACGTTTTTAATGTTTTGATTTTTTATTAATAATTAAATTAGAAAAAAAAAAATATTTTTAAAAAATTACACCTATAGTTTTTAAAGTTTTTTACAAGTGAAATTTTTTTTTTAATTTTTTCACTAAAAAAAAATTATAAAAATTTTTAAATGTCGGCTAACGTAATTTTCATATGTCTGAGTACCTTCATATGTACTTTGTTTATAAATAAGCGCATGTAAAAAACTAAAATAATGAATTAAAAAGCACATGGTTTATTATCTATCACAGTGATTATAAATATTTGTAAAATATACTCACGATCTGCGGGAATCCCATCGGATGCTCTTGACGTTCCGACAATGAAACATGTTAAAATAATCGAGGATAAAAGTAAATACACGCGATATGGATAAAGCTCCATAACCCACCCTCACTTCACACCCACGTAACACTATTATTTTTTAGCGCTCTCTTTTTATTAATTTTAATAGCCGTGTTTGTTTATTTATTTATTTATTTACTTATGTATTTTTTTCCGGGAATAAATTATCGGCAATTCCAGCCGGGGAATTTTTTAGCAACATCCAGTGCGCTGACAAACGTGCATACTTGGGTTATTTAATTGATAATAATAATAATTAAATTTATTATGTGTGTGTAATAATGTAAAGTGAAAGGTAATGTATACATATATATTTATATATATTATTAAATGTATTTAAATGTCTAATTATTGTTTATATTTGGTGTTTTAAAACGCACCGGGTACTTGCGAGGGCGTTTTGTATTAAAAATTAACGATAGCATGAAGACCCCGGTTCGTATTCGTACTGAGTCTGATTCACGATTACCATCGTTGTAGCAATTACAACCAAGAGCAGAGCAGAGGATATTTAACAACTACCGACGACGACGTTTCTCTCTCCCGGGCGAGACAGGAGTCACTGATATTCTGACGCACCGACATCGCGCCACCTGCGCGCGCATTTTCAACCTCTCTCTCTTTCCCGCTTTTTTTACTTTTTTTTTTCACTGTCTCACTTTTGCTTGCTGAGTGTAAACACGTACATGTGAGTGAGTATAAACTTATACTCTCAATCTCAATGTTCAGTGTATTTTATTTATATATTTATATGCATCCATGTATTTAATATAGATATGCAATATTTGTATTTATATTATTTTGTTTTTTTTTTTATTGCAGATTTTTGATGGATTTTATAAACTTAGATTTTATTATTTTTATTTTGAAACTTGGAGCTAAAAAAGGATAAAAATATGTGATGGAGAAAGTGGAAAGAGAAAGACAGAGTGCTAATTCTTCAGCCTAACCTGGGCGATAAATTACTTAGGTATTCATCCTGTTGTAAATTCGTGACAATTGATGTCTTGCATCAGAATTTAGCTGTCTATTTTTTTTTACAGTTTTTGTTTTTTTATTTTAATTGTCATTCTGGTCAGCTTGTTTTTTAACGGATTGTTTTAATTGTTTTTGAGGTTAATGTCGGATTTTTATTTATTTTATTGCTATTTTTTAGATAATTTATTCTGGTTTTTTTTTTTTAATTTAACCTCTAGTTTGTGAAACTGTGTATTTTTTTATAAAAAATAAGTTAGCTGACATTGAAAAAATTTTTTTTGTTAAAAAAACAATTAAAAAAAATTTCATGATTAAAAAATTGGAGGTGCAATTTTTAAAAATATTTTTTAGTTCTAATTTAATAATTAAAAAAATACAGCTAATTTTAGTGTTATTTTTTTTATTTTTGTTTGTTTAATTTATAATTTTAATTAATGGAGTTGCTAAATTAAATATTAATTTTATTCATTGAAGTAAATGATTTAAAAATGTAGTTTTATTTTATAATTAAAAAAGTGACGTTTTGGTTAAATAAATAATTTAAAAATGGAAATAAATCCATTAAGTATTATTCTTGTAAAAAGAGATAGTAAAGGTGATAGAATGTTATTTAGATATCCGCATATGGATAATAATAAAAGGGATTCTAATCAGTGTACAAAAAGAAAGAATCCTTATTCATTGATAATAGCTGAAGATTCATTGCAGGTTAGTATTATAATTATTATTATTAAAAGTGTGTTATAAATTATACTAATGAATGAATTAATGATTTTAGTCACTGCCGTGTCCAACATCAAATATCACTAATGGAAATTTATCTGGATTATCTGATGAAGTATTGTCGACGTTATTTGCTGTTAAACCAGAGCTTTGTGAAATGAAATTCGAGTTAAAATTAAATAACGTACGATTTGTTGGTCATCCAACTTTGATACCATCATCAAGGGGAAAAGAAGTTAATTCTTCAATGTTATTTAATGTTGTGTTTGCGTTACAAGCACAAGCTAATCAATCTGTTGTCAAGTGTTACCACGACTTGAGCAAAAGGTCAGTCTTTAAATCATTTGAATTGTTAATCAATAACAAAACAATCATTTTTAATTATTCTCAACTTATTCATACACACTAGGTACTTATTTATAACACGGCAATTATTATTATTCTTGGTTGTATTTTTTTTATGCAGATTAGGAATAACACTCAGGCACGAAGAAAAAAGATGTGGGTTTCTAACGGAGGAAATAAAAATGATGGTATCTACTCTTGATGAAATAGCGACGAGGTAATTTTTTTTTTTTTATCATAATTCTTATTAATGCTTATTTAGATACGAGATTTTTTATTTTTAAATGCGGTGATTATTGGTAATTTCACAGAATAAATGTCACGTTTCTATTCGGTTATAAAAAAATTAAATTGAGCTCTTATTGAATTTTTTTTCATATTTAATTTCATAACAGGTGGATAAAAAATACACCAATTATTGTTTACAGCATGATTTTATAATTGTAATTTTTTTTTTTTTTTGACTAAAAAATTGAGTTTTTTTTTTAACTCAATTTAAATCTTCACGTGTAATAAATTAGCATAATTATAATTAAGGAGTCGAGTTTCAAAAGGTTGTCTTTTCATTTTTTATTAATCGACACAAAAAAAAACTGATTATCTTCAATTATAAATATTTTAATAATTTTTCTAATAAATAAATTGCTGCATAAAAAAATAAGAAAAAAAAATGGACATTTAGAAATTTTAATAAATTAAAAATGCAATTTTTTAAAAATAATTTTTCGGTACAAATTTTTTTGTTAAATGAAATTAAAAAATGGTCAAGTGACAGCTAACTTTAATATCATGATAAGATAATTAAAATTAAAGTAGCAGATACTTAATAATTTTTAGAATTTTTTTAAGAAATAAATTAGTGAAAAAAAAGTTAAAAAAATTGGCATGTAAAAATGCAATTTTTTAAAAATAATTTTTCGGTACAAATTTTTTTGTTAAATGAAATTAAAAAATGGTCAAGTGACAGCTAACTTTAATATCATGATAAGATAATTAAAATTAAAGTAGCAGATACTTAATAATTTTTAGAATTTTTTTAAGAAATAAATTAGTGAAAAAAAAGTTAAAAAAATTGGCATGTAAAAATTGTAAAAAATAAAAAATGCAATTTTTTAAAAATAAGTTTTTTGTTAAATAAAATTAAAAAATTGTGAAGTGACTGCTAACTTTAATATCGTGAAAAGATATTCTTTTAAAAATCAGCTCCTAAATTATAATCAATATGTAATGTAAACTCTTTACTATAAATTTATATCATTGCACCATAAAGTAACCCTGTTATTGGCCAATAGGCTGTTGGGACTGCAATAAGTGAATAAATAAAACAGAAAAAATGAATATAAAAGTATACTCTGTAATTATTTTATGTATAAGAAAAAAAAAAAAACTAGTTTCAATCAGCTGAAAAATTGAGTTAGGATCAAAGTCGGCAACTGACTTAGAAAAAAAACTTTATAAAATATAACTCTGAAATGAACTTGGAAATTTGAAAACTTTAGAAATTCTGGCTCTAGTAAATCGAAACTTTTATTAATCTAAATTTTGAAAGTTTAACTTTTCAATGTTAAACTTATCTAATTTTTACTGTTGAAATTTTATCTTAAAAGTTTTGAATTATAAAATTTAGATAGATACTTTTAAATTAGTTATTTAAAAAATATTTATTTAATAATCTTTAAGGTCTGAAGAAGAAAGTGAAGGAGAAGAATCGCCGTATGAATTGATACTAAAAAAAAGTTTGCTCGCCAAAGATTTAAAATCAGCATTCGACAGCCTCTGTAACACAGGAATTGTCAACCTAATGATTAATAAATGGACATTGGTTAATTTTTGCCTACCTCAAAAAGTACACCAAATCCACAAAAAAGGATTCATAATGAATCCTGAAATGATTGATAGGTAAAAAGATCTCTGAGCTGTTTACATTGCAATATTAAAAGAGGTTAAAATAATTGAACTGTTTTTATTGTTGTAATTTATTTTCTAGATGTTTAAATAGTTTAAGACCGTACCACGGCCTACTTCTGTTAATTGAGCCGGTGGACTTATTAGAATCATTACCAACCGATGCATCTCCTGCACTGAGACGAATGATTCAGATGTACAATCCCCTGAAAAGTCTTCAAACTCTGGCTGCTGATACTGATTTATCACTAGCGCAAATTTTTCAACTAACCGGACACCTAGTTTATTGGGCAAAAGCTACTGTGATATATCCGCTGTGCGAAAGCAATGTTTATGTAATTTCACCCGACGCTGTCATTTCTAATCAACTTATGGAGTCATTCATTGATCAATTTCCGGGATTGAATCTTTTACAAGTAAAAAATTATAATTAAATTAAAAAGTAACTTGAAATTAAATATTTATTTTAGAAAAATTCATAAGCTTTTAACAAACAGTAATTTTATTTTTAATTTTAATGAAGCTGCTATTTATTTATGCAGTAGCTGCATCATAAACGTCGTTTGATTTTTAATATTCAAGTTAATTTTCACAAACTTATGTAATTAAATTTAGTGATGGTTTTATAAAATTAATTAATTTAAGACTTGTTTGATTAAAAATTCTAACGTCACTGTTTACTGGATTTTAATTAAAGAGATTAAATTTAAAAAACGTAGGTAAAAAAATTTTATTAACGGTATAAAATGTTAAAACTGTGCAATTAAATATTTAAATTTCTGTCCCGCTTTGATATTTTTTTTTTGTAAATACTTTTAGATCATTACACAATACAATTAATTTTATTTAATTATGTAATGTAATTACAATAGCGTTTATATTATATTTTACAGATTCTAAGTGAATTTTCATTACCGACGTCAATTAGCGAGAAATTGAATCCATTAGGGCAACCACAGCAGCAACAACAGATAGTAAAAATAATTGTTTGGTTATTAAAAAATCGTCTGCTCCTGCAATTGCATACATATGTCCAATTTATGCCGACCGATCACGGACGAGATTCAGCGGTAAGTAAATTTTATAAAATAGAGAAATTAAATTTACAAATTTATTTATTTTAAACCCAACAGCCTATAGGGCTAATAACAGGGTTACTCAATTTATACATGGTTGTAGATAGAGACAGAGTATAAATACTTAGGTAGAGATGTAGTCAAATTTTTTAAAAATTCATTTTTTTAAGTATAATATCTTGATAATATTTTTCAATAACTTATTTAATAGTTTCTGAGATATTTAAAAAAAATCAGGCCGAACAATTATTTAAAAAAAAAAATTTTTTACAAATAAATTAATTTTTTTTTATTAATTTGGATAACTTTAAAAAAAAAATTTTTTTTATAAAATTGAATTAAAATTCATACTTTTTTTTAAATTTTACAATAAATAGAATACTTAGTATACTAAGTAATTATAATTAATTATCTTATAAATTTTCTATACTTAAAATGCTATAAACTTATTAGACTAATTAATAATTAGAAAAAAAAAAAGAGATATGTAGTAAAAAAAAAAAAACAAAAGTATATATATTTAAAAATAATAAATAATTATTTTATTTAAATCTAAAGTGACTTTCACTTGATATTAAACGTAAATCAAAGTGTCAATAGCAAAGACAATGCCAGTAATTGAAACATTTATCTCAGTATTGATTTAAAAGACTAAGTTATTTTTTTGTCATTGAGTAGTTAATTATTGAGTGTATTTCACTATCAGGAGACGAGAAATCAAGACGGCTTGAGTCCAAATAGAGCCACGGAGAGCGACAGCAGCTGGAGTTATAACAATACACCCAAGGGAATATCCAGTGAGATGAGAATCGATAGATCAATCTCAATGTCCAAAGAAGAAGAAATCTTCGAATACCGATCTGAGAATTTTCCAATCTCTTCCGAGGATATAATGCTGCTCGATAAGCTTTGCGGGCTGAATTATTTTGACGGAAGGCACCATCTCGAAGAAATAATGTATCTTGAAAATATACGTCGATCTCAATTGTTAGAAATTTTAGAAAAATTCCGTAATATTTTAATAATATCCAAGCACGAGGATCCAGCAATAACATTGTTTTATTCTCAACATGGTTTTTCATAAATCAATATCACTGTATTTATCATTTTTATAATAAAAAAAAAATAAATCGATATATTTTAATACGCAATAGTATTATTTAATAATAAATTTATTTTTAATTTTTAATGTAAAAAAGAATAAACCAAAGTGATATTGTTTATATATTTATTTATTATTCATAAGTATATGTTCATATATATTTATAGGAATAACAATTTGTTAAATTTTAAATATAATATATGCATATCGATACTGTCATTCTAAGACGTCGTATCCCACATAATTTAATAAATTGACTTTTTTTGAAAAATGGAAATTTCAACATGACTTGTAAAACAACGTGTTAATTAATAATATTTCTCTATATTTTTCTAATTACGTTTAGCGCGCCGTTTTCTTTCAAATTTATCGTAAGCTACTACAGCGCCACCCTTATTGCCCGCGTTTTTACGTTTACGGACACTTATTCTTACTTCTACCCTCCATAAGCTTTAGTGACTCCAAAAACACGCTTCAATCACTTCTACAGCTTCAGGATAACAAACAGCGGTCCTATCTTACTTACAAAATCGCCGCAAAAATGACCGAGGCACAACAACAACAACTCCAAGTTCACCTGGTCTGGATTCCAGGGCACTCTGGCATCTCAGGGAACGAAACGGCGGACAGACTTGCTAAGGAGGCTGTGATCAGTGCACGACGAACCTTCACTCCAATTCCATTCAAAGATCTGGCCAACAACAGCAAACAAAAAGCCATCAAGACAACGGAGGAAAAGCTTAAAGAAATAGGAAGGACGAAAGGAGTCCTATACTTCGAGCAAATATACAGAAGTACGAAGAAACCCTGGTTCGTACACTACAATTTGCCTAGGAAAGTCGTCACCACAATTATCCGAATGCGCCTCAATCATTATAATCTTAACTCGAGCCTTCACAGAAAGAAATTCATTGATTCAGCTGAGTGTCCATGTGGATCCCCCGAACAAGACTTCAACCACATCTTCTTCGAATGCCCAACCTACCAAAACCAAAGAAGAACATTAAACAACATACTGGCCAAAATTTGTGATCCTGTTCCGACCGACATCATCACTCTCCTGGCCACTCCTACGTCTAAAATATCATACATACTCTGTAACTTCCTCACGAAGTGTGACCTCAACATTTAAATTCAAATTAGTACAGACCGAGACACCTACCGATGACCTCCAGAAACTACAAACTCACAACTACTCCACCATCAAGTACAGCGGCCGAATGGGAAAATACCCAGAGCCTAAAGAATACTACTACTACCCTCCATAAGTAAGCAGAAGGAGCAGAAGGCAGAAACAGAGAAACAGAGAATAATTTAGTATTTATTATTAAACTTTGAATTAAACAACGCCTGTACATCTAAAAAGGTAATTTTCATAATAAATTAAAAATTATTTTAGTGTAATAAATTGATTAAAAAATAACATTTTTATTAATTTTTTCACATTATTTGTAAACACGTGGTTATAAATTGATGGTTAGAATAAATGTTTGATTACGTTTGAAATAATTAGTAAATTAATAATATTAAGCATTATTTTGATTTTAAAATTAAAATGATACTGAAATTAGCAGACACTCGACACTTTTTGAATTTTTTATTAAAAATTGATTGTAAAAAACAATTATTTTAAAAAATTTTCAATTGCAATTTTTTTTTTTTTTTAATTTCTAGCTATGAATATTTTTTTAATTATAATTTTTTGCTGACATTTCAAAATTTTTAGAAATTTTTTATTCAAAAAATTTCAATTAAAAAAAAAAATTTCACATGTAAAAAACTTGAAAAACTATAAGTACAATTTTTTAGAAATATCTTGTTAGTTGTAATTTAATTAAAAAAAAAAATCAAAAATTTTTAGATGTCTGCTAACTTCAGTGTCATAAAATCTAAGTTAGGTCAAACCCTTTCGAATGGCGCCAATCGTGATCAAATCGATCAAGCCGTTCAAAAGTTTTTAGATGTTTACACACACACACACACACACACACAATTACCCAGACGCAAGTATACCCGATGACAGCCAACGTACCACAGGGTTCAGTAATAGGCTCCGACACTTCTTTTAGCTAATAACTAAATGTTTATTTATTAAAAGTAGGGTTGAATACTTTCACTTTGAAAACTGTTTAACTACTGGGTATTATACCTTACTTTAAAGATGAAAAAAAAATTTTTTAAATGAATCTATTTTTTTTCAGGTGGCAAAGAATTCATTATGGACAAGAAAATGAGGGGTACAAAACGAATCCACACCTTGAGTGGTGTTGTCCCTGAAAAGAAAGTCACTGAGAGAAAGAAAATATGTTACAAGGCTGGCGCTAGACTCGATAATCCCTCTGATGAATTTGCACCGTTACAATGGGCGATATCTAAGAGAAATCCCGAAATGGCTTATTTAATAATAAAAAATGGTGGTGACGTGAACTTAGTCTGTTGTGGTAAAACTCCATTGCATTATGCGGTAGACGCTGAATGGGATGGCATGGTTCATCTGCTTATCGAAAATAAGGTTGATATTAATGCAACTACTTGTGTAGAACGCAATGAAACGGCTCTTGGTGTAGCTATAAAAAAATATAACTTTAATTTAATAACAACAATAATAAGTGCCGGCGCAGATGTCAATTTATTTACAAGGTACGTCACTCCTTTGCAATTCGCGATTATCGAGAGCAGTTACAATAGTTTTAGAATTGTTGAATATCTAATTAAAAGTGGGGCTAAAGTAAACGCAGACAGCAGTCCTGAATCAAAACATTTCGGAGAAAAGGCACTGCACATTGCTGTTCAAAAAGGAAATGCACAATTAACAAGATTACTTATAAAAAATAATGCCGATATTGAAGCTGTGACGAAATCTGACCAAACAGCTCTCGGAATTGCTGTGCGAAAAGAAAATTTTGAATTAGTTGAAACCTTAGTCGACGCTGGCGTTGATGTTAATAAATTTTCCGCAGGGATTGCGCCATTAAATTTAGCGATTGCTGCTAAGAATCACAAGATACTTGAGTATCTTATTGATCACGGAGCTGATATTAATAAAGTTATTGCTGATGAATCGAACGAAAAACTGAAGTCTAGTTACATTGTCAAGAAATTGATCCAAGAAAAGATTGTTATGTTAAGAGCAGCTGATTTTAAGATTTTAGATGTTAATTTACTAGCTGTCAATGAATCAGAATTTTCTGATTTGTTTTTAGAATGTTGTAATCAAGTTACATTGATGAAGACAATTAATGTAGGTACTACAACGTTAACTTATTATGATACATTACATACTTCTATACACAGTATGGCAATGCGCTTAAAATATGTTGATGATGATGCTATTTATGATCATGAAAATTTGAAACTAAATTTGCCATTATATGCTGATATTATACATAGTCGAATGAGAAAAACTATCGCCAGGAAGAAATTGTTGAAAAAATCTAGTGACATTATAAGCGATATTTTTTACCGTGAATTACCCAGTACTTTTATTAGAGAACTGTTTTGGTATTTAACTAATAGAGATCTTAGAGTATTGACCGGTTGTTTCGATGATCAGTGGTCCTTCATGGTTTTGAGAAAAAAAATTCCATAAGTGTTTTGAAATATGCTTTTCGTATAGATGGAACTAGGTTCTATCCGACATGGAAGCCAGTTAAATCTTGTTTTTTTCGTGCAGGAACCCGGCTGTTCGGGACAACCTTACGAGCAGAGCCGGCACTAAAGCCGTCTGTTCCTTTATGTTCCCACCGGAAGATTTACCATTCTATTCTCAGAGTCGGGGATGATCTCGGATATTATGTTCAATCCTCACGGGTTCCCCAGTCGGATGAAAATCGCTATGTTGATCGAGTTCATGGCAGGAAAATCTGCTGTGACTCGTGGGCTTGTCCATGATGCTACGCCTATCAGGTTCAATGAGAAGAACACTGCTATAGATAACTTTAGAAGGTTGCTGGAGCTCGGCGGGTTTGATTACTGTGGAGAGGAGGTGATGTACTGTGGCATGGATGGCAGGATGTTTGAAGCTTATATTTATATGAGCGTGATTCATTATCAACGATTGAGGCACATGGTGGAAGATAAGGCTCAGGTCAAAAGCACTGGCCCGGTTGATGTTCTCACCTAGCAGCCGATTAAGGGAAGACGTCGAGGAGGTGGTGTTAGGTTTGGTGAGATGGAGCGCGATGCTTTGATCGCTCATGGTACATCTTATCTTCTCCGGGATAGACTGTTCCATTGCTCGGACAAGTCTACCGCAACGGTCTGTCGTAAATGTGGAAGTCTTCTGGAACCTGTTACTGAGCACATCAGGAATTTCGGAGAGCGCAGGTCTAGGTGCAAGTTCTGCAATGATGATAAAGAACTTTACGATATTGATGTTCCGTATATTTTTAAATATTTTGTAACTGAACTTGCTTCCCTTAATATTAAAGTTAAGTTTGACTTCAGGTTTATTTAATTTATTCAAGATGTATTAATTTTAATAGTTAAGTAAATATTTTGTACGTAAAGAATAAATAATTTTCAAGTTTAATTTTTGTTTTTAGAAATTTTTAATAATTTTTTGGTTTACTAATAATTATCTAGTTTATAATATTTTTATTGAGAATTTTTAGATGGATAATAAACTCGGTAATTATTAATTAATAATGTTATGATACTAAATTTAACAGATATCTCAAAATTTTTTTGATTTTTATAATAAAATATCTAAATTATATGCAGAAATAAAAAAAAAAAAACGACACTAATGACATTTATTTTTCCTAACGATGCAAAATATATTAATGCTGGCTTCCCGATGAAAAAAGTTTTTGTCTAATTATATATGATCATATATAATTATATATAATCATATATGAGAGCATATATAATCATACATGATTATAGATCTGATCATACCTGGTTGTTATAACCCCATATATAATCATATATGAGTCTATATATGATCAGATCTGATTATACAGTGAAAAATTTGTAAGAGATTTTTTGTAGAAAATTTAATTTACTAAAAAAAAAAGTCATCAATTTTTTTTATTTTTAATACACTGATAAAAAAAAATAACTTTAATAAAAAAATTTTAATTTTACGAAATTTTAGTAGGACTAAAAAATTTGATTCCTTACTTATACTCTGGTAAGACTTTTCTACAAGCGAGAGGGCGTAGCCACCTAGCGGCAAACCCAGAACTAACTTCAAAGTTTTTTTCTGACTTAAACTTATAACATTATAAATAAAAAAATTTGTTCTTGAATCAACAAGCAATAATTCTTGAAATGAAATATAATTATTCTTCATTGAAGAGAATCCTTTTTGAATAAAGAATTCACTTGTATCGATCGAAGATAATATAGTCTTGAACCAAATAAAAATGTTATCGATCGGATTGATTAGATCTCTTACTCCTAGAAACATGAAATCAAGACAAGAATTTCTTGAAATAAGACAACTAGTTCTCTTCAAAATAATTTTCTTGAAGCTAGAATATTTTTCTTGAATGAAAATATTTTTTTTATCACTGTACTTTATTCACAATTTCAATTATAGTTCTTCCCCGCTTCAATAATTGGTTCTAAATAGTTCTTCAATTATGAAATTAATTTGAAAAAAGTGTGTTCCCTATATATACCTTGGTTAGAAATTTCTGGCAGCGAGAAGGCGTAGCCACCTAGTGGTGAAACCAGAAACTAACATTAATTTTTTTTTATTTAGAGCAAGACAAGAATTCTTGAATCAAGACAAAGTTCTTATTATTATTATTATTTATTAAACCAGAAAAAATTACAGACCATCAATACAACTTGTGACGTTATAAATATAATTACTGAAAAACAAATACAGACCTAAATACAAGTGCAAAAGCATGTCTTAGACGTTATAAACGATATTTTTCTTCGAAAAGATGGTTCAACCATGGTCGTTATGAGCGATTTGTCGTTATAGGCGATGTCGTTATAAACAGTTTTAAGCTTGAAGGTTTTATATTGCATTAAGACGGGACCTTGAAATTTCGTCGTTATACCCGGTTCGTCGTTGTAAGCGATGTCGCTGTAAACGGTTTTGACTGTATATGTCTATATAGTGGGATAGCAAGTGGGACCATCTGGAGCAAAAGTTTAAAGTCGGCTACTGGAGGTCCAAGGAAGACGCTATTGTGGATAATGTTAGGATGTGCCAAGTTTTGAGTATCAAGGATGTCATGAGAGCCTGCATCACTTTCAGAGTGACCAGGAACCCGGCTGTTGGGGATAAATTTACCACCAGAGCTGGGAACAAAGGCGTTTGTTCCTTTATGTTCCCACCGGAAGATTTACCATTCTCAGAGTCGGGGATGATCCCGGATATTATGTTCAATCCTCACGGGATCCCCAATCGCATGACAATAGCTCTACTGATCGAGATCCTGGCAGGAAAATCTGCTGCGAGTCACGGGCTGGTCCATGATGCCACGCCTTTTAGGTTTAATGAGAAGGACACTGCTATAGATTACTTCGGAAGGTTGCTGGAGCTCGCCGGGTTTGATTACTATGGAGAGGAGGTGATGTACTCTGGCACGGAAGGCACAATGTTTGAAGTTTATATTTAGCAGCCAATTCAAGGAAGATCCCGAGGAGGTGGAATTAGGTTTGGTGAGATGGAGCGCGACGCTTTGATCGCCGTATGAATAATGTAGAGAAAATATTTGCTCAACTAAAATGAAACATTTTTTGTAAATATTATTAATTTCAATTTATATTAATTTTTCAAAATAAAAAATTATAATGTGATATCATTAATAAGCAAAGCAAGACTGATTTTTAATTATATTTATGTTATTGTAAAAATTGTAAAAAATGATCTCAAGAATTTAATAATAAAAAAAATTTTAATTTATTCCAGATGTACTCATTTTAATTAATAGTTTTAATTATAATAGCATGATCTTCAGATTTTTTATCAAGAAATTTTGTTAAAGATTTTGTGACTTAAACAAATGATACTGAAGTTAGCAGACGTCTAAAAATTTTTTATTTTTTTTATTAATTAAATTACAACTAAAAAGATATTTCTGAAAAATTGCGCTTAGAGTTTTTTAAGTTTTTTAAATGTTTTTTTCAACAAAAAAATTTTGAAATGTCGGCTAACTTCATTTTCATCTTAAATAATATCAATTAATTACTCATTCAATCCATTTGCTACAATAATAATTTGAATTGAAATTGAAAATAATCGCGTTCTATGATTGGAATGCACTTCTAACTAAAGTCAATACATAATAAATTATATAATTTTAGCAGTAATTTAAAAATATAAATAAAAAATTGTACTGTAAAAAAATTAAAATATATTTTTTTTTTGGTAAATATTAAAATGAACAACAGAGATAATTTTTTAATTATAGTTATTATTATCGTTAATATCCATATAATCATCAATAACTACAGCAGAACACAAAACAAAAAAGTATATCTGTACATTGTCCTTATGTGGTAAACATAAACATTTTTTTTTATTATAATATTTTATTTTATTTATTTTTTTTGCATATCAGTAGCCTAAGATAGGACGAAATTAAATTATAATATTCACATATATGTTACATCTTAAATAAGGTCCAGGGCATCGACACACTGTATTTATAAAACAAAAAATAATCATAATAATTGCCATTATCATTATCAATATTTATCATCAATAATAATAGCAAAAATATTAAATAAAAATAAACTTAAAATACAATATTTTTTTTATCTAAGCTTTAAAAATAATAATTATTTTTAAATAACCGATGAATTATTTAAAAACTTTTTCGATGAGCAGTGTGCGAGCCCCATCACCAGATATCCTTATTTTAATATTTATTTAACTGTAATATATGTAATTATTTTTTTGTATCATTTTATCATTTTTTTAATTATTTGATCCTTTAATAGTTTTACTTCTATATACTGTACATATGAACAACGCATCTTTTACACTGTACACGCATACGCTCCACGAGTATCTGCGCTGCCTTATTTTTATCTCATTAGTATTTATTATTATTTGTTCATATTTTTTCATTTTATATTATTTATTTCTTTTACATAAGGATGGGCAGGATATTTATGACCATTCGACTATCAATTACACTTACCACTGTCATAAAACATTAAATAGGAATAACTTGTTTCCTACACAATTTTTTTTTATATTATTTTTCCATTATTTAGTCTCTGTTAATAATTAGTTTTTTTTTTTTTTTTTCAACTACTGAGACATGAGCGCGTTTATTTTTATTCATTTATATACTCAATAACTGGGTTATTTTATTTTTTAAGTATCTCAATATTGTACAACTGGAACTCCCGATAATTCATACATTCAAATATGAAAAAATTTTTTTTATATTTATATATATATATTTTTTATAATTCTTTCGATAAACCTTGTATTAATTATAATATTTATAAGACAATTATCGTGTAGAAAATTTAAATACCACGATATTACAATACGAGCGTGAAAATATTTATTTTCATGCATCAATCAACAAATGAATTTACATTAATTTTACTTTATCATTTTTTTTTTTTGTTAATGAATAGTAATATTTAATTATATAAAAAAGTGTAAGAGCATTATTTTAATTTTTATTAATTTTTAATTACTCATAATAATATTACTATAATTTAATTTTAATTAATAATATCATTATAATTATTAATCATTTTTAAATCGGGAGAATCAGTGTGCAATAAAAAATATCTAGTCGCACTCAAGTCTGATTTATACATAAATGCGTTTTTCTTTTAAATAAAAATTAATAATTTAAATAAAAAGATCAACAAAGTAACAAAAAGAAGAAAATAATTTACAGTTCCGCCCATCGCTCTTTTTTTTTTTAATCTTTTTAAAAAAAAGGTTCTTTTTATCTCTACAGGCGTGTAAGCCCTACGCGCAGAAGCATATAATATTTATGTAACATAATTAACTTTTAATCTATTTAATTAATTAATTAATATTTTGTTTACAGTTTTCAGGACACAATTGTTAAACTTTATTGACGCGTTATTTATAAATAAAAAAAAAAATGTGCAAATTGCACCGTTCAAATATACTCGTTTATTATTTATTAATTTTCTTCAATTAATTAACGCGGGATGGAAGTTTTTAATAATTATTTTAGGGCGGCGTCAATGGTCATTGAGATCGATCATACTTACGTATGACAATTTTAAGCCCTCTATTTTTTAAAATAGTTTTTTACTTTGTTCAACGTGCAAATCGATACGTAAACTAGCTAAGAGCTTCAATAACATTAGTAATAATCGATTGCAGCAATAAGAATAGTAGAGTAGTAGTATTAGAAATAGTTTTTTTTTTTTTTTTAATAGTGATAAGAAGTTTTATAATCGTTATTAGCATAGTAGTGGTAGGAGCGTAGTGTTTAATTGCAGTAGCAATAGTATTAGGCAATAATCATGAATTAAAATGTTTTTTCATGAATAATAATAATAATAATTAATAACTAATAAAATGATAATAAAATTAATAATAAAGAATTTAGAATAATTATTAATTAATATTATAAATTCTTCATAATGTACATAGCTAATTATAATTGTATATATTTATATATAATAATAATAATAGTATTAATTATAATTGAAATATGGTACATCCTGCTAAAGGAATTTATTTCTTTACACTAAAAATAAATCCTATTAAGGTAGTCCTTATTAAAAAAAAAAAAAAAAAAAAAAACATTATTTAATGTCTAGATTAATTTTAAATAGGAATTTCTTTATCATTATTAACATTTCTTCTTATATGCTATCATATTTATTTGTGTATGTTTTATTTTAAATCACTATATCTTATTTATCATTTTCACTTTCTAGTTTGACAGGAGCAGCGGCAGCGGCTTCGGCGGCGGCAGCAACTATTGTTACAATTAATATAATACATTCATATTTATATTTATATTTTTATATAATATGTAATATATATACAATACACCATATATTATATATTATATATATATTACATAAATATGTATATATATTATGTATAATAAGATAATAATTATTATAATTATTATTATACAAAAACACATCACATATCGCGGACCTCAAGTGGTCTCTTTTTTTTTTTACTATGTTTTTATTAATTTTTTTTTTTTATTTTTTTTTATTATTTTTTCTTCTTTTTATGCAGATATCGTTAAATAATTAAAATCACAGTAGTCATGCCTTCGCTGGCTCCTTATATTTATACAATATTATAATCTAAGCCTTAAAAATTAAACTTGTTTAAAGATTGATTAATTTGTTTCAATTTTTTTTTTTTTTCATCTGTTTACTTGTAATTGTAACTTTAGTTTTGCTAAAATCCGCATAGTGCAATTAGGAAGGTATACATTGTATTTTTTTTTGTAATATTTTTGTTCAAAGGAACAACAAGTGCGGACAAATTATAATCGACAATTATAAATTAAAAAAATTGTCTCTGTCACATATTGGAGTAAAAATATTTTTTTAAATAATGTTATTATTATTGTTATTTACTTATAGGGTAGGAGGGGGTGTAACAAGCAAGTCAGCTTGTCGGAGAGACCAAGAGTGAAGTCGGTCGTTCCCACAAACATAACAAGCATATAATTAATTTTTTTTTTTTTTTAAATTAAGATTCCAGGATATAAAATTACTGTGGAGAGGAACGCAAGGATTTTATGTAATATTAACCATGCTAACCTCCCCCGCGTCACAACCCCGACCATCCTATTATTAATTGTCATTTTTGTAATAATTATTGTTCATATTCTTGATGATGATTTTAAGTGTTACAATCAGATGTACAATCCTAAATAACTTGCTAAGCCAGTTCTCTTTATGATTGTCAAACGGTGTAAGAGAGAACAGTTTCTCATTATTGTTTTTTTTTTTCTTTAAAATAGTAACATTTGTCAATTTCGGGTAAGTAGTGTCTACAATCGGTAATTATTTTCTTAAACGCACAATGATTATAAGTACGCGGAGGTTTCATGCCTCCCGTGAGACTCAAAAATCATTAACTCGGTGCGTTTTGTACATAGTCGACAAAATTTATCTAATGACGACCAGTGACGGAGGAATTTTGTAAATATCAAGAGATTGATCACGTTAACTTGACCGATGACGTTGTCTCAAACTGTGGCTATTACGATGACCAGGTGAGCAATCTCGGCTACTCGGTGCAGCAGATCTGGTGCTATTCGGGCCAGGCTCTCGTTGGCAAAGTCGCATGATGGAAAGATGTGGACTACGTATGCGGGCTGAAATTTTATTTATTTGTTTTTTATTGCTGTTATTTATTATGATTTTAATGTAAGTGGATATAATTTATTTTTTCAGTAATTTAACAATGAATAATATTTATTTAACTAACCTGCTGTGAACCCGGTGCGGCAATATTTACAATTCCAGCTGCCTGTTTCTGTTGTAGGTAAGTTATAAAACCAGTTTGAAGATTTTTACTCTGCTGAAGAACATCCATTTGATCTCGTCCACAAGGCAATGCCAACAGCATACAATGTTCATTGTCAGTCTAGAAAAAATTCAATAAATTAATATAAATAAAAATTTTTTACTGTCAGAGTGATGATAAAATTTGAGTGTTTATTTTTTTAAAATATTAAAATTTATTTTACAATCCTGGAAATTATCTATATTATTAAGAGAATAAGAAAAATTTTGTGTCTAGGATAGTCATATGATAAAATCGGTTTTTTTTTAGTTAAATTTAGTGTCATTGTAGATACATAATTAAGAAATTATCTTGTATCTCGTGAACTATTGACATTTTTAAAGATATAAGCTCATTCCCATGTTACACTCATCGAGACCTTTCATTTGAGTACCCACATCAATTTTTCATATATTTTATATATTATATATTATATATATGTATATATGAAACATATATCAAAAATGCATGTAGGTACTCAAATAAAAGCTCTTGATGAGGGTAACATCGGGATAAGCTTATATCCTAAAAAATGTTAATAATTAAGAAATGACCTTGTATCTTGTAAACTATTGACATTTTTAAAGATATAAACTCATCTCGATGGAGCTTTCATTTGAGTACCCACATGCATTTTTGATATATTTTTCATATATACATATATAATATATATAAAATATATGAAAAATTGTTGTGGGTACTCAAATGAAAGGTCTCGATGAGTGTAATATCGAGATGATGTTATATCTTAAAAAATGTCAATAATTAAGAAATTACAGTGCAATTTAACAAAAATAATTATTCAATAAAGCAAAATTTAATTTTTTTATATACAAGGTTGCTAGTTTAATATTTAATAAATAAATTACAAACCTGCATCTTTCTTGCTACTCCGTCAACCTGTGTCTGTTCCAGCCTCATCCGCTGTGCGATTCTCAGTGGCGGAGTTGACCTGTCACTGTTACATGGAAGACTCTCCGTGGCAACATTAGGATTACCAAAAACAAAATGCATCTGCACAGCAGCTTGATCATTCTTCAAAGCCAGCAGACCCTGCCACATGACAGGGTACCGCCTAAGAAGCATAAGAAGTGAGTCCGCTTGAGGTGGAACTTGCGAAGCATGAGGTGGTGTGGCTACTTGATGCTTTCTGTGTCGGTCTGGCGTCAACGCGCGATCTGGCGCTTCACTCGCAGCCATTGGATACTGAGAGCGAATGTGCGCAGGTGGTGGCTCATAATAAGGACCGCGAGCACCGGTGGGTCCACCAGCAAAAACAGGATTACTCCCGGTGTTGTACTGAGGTGGTGCTGGCAAACGTTGACCACCGTGCATCATATAGACTTGAGCGACTTGGGGGCTGTCTGTTGTCCGGTCGTGAGGAGTTCTGGTCGCTCGTACCAGCTCTAATGGCGGGCTGTGGCTTTCTTCACCGCTGGCTTCCATTTTAGGATCGAGAGGCAGATGAGGCGAACGCGCGTCGGGTACGTGATACGCTATACGTGGTGTTGTCAATGCTGCTTCTTGTTGAGCACGCAAGAACTGGTACGGAAGAGGAAGCATGTAAGGTGGTGGTAATTCGCCAGCTCTTGATAGTCCACCGTAATGATTTACTACGTCACCCTAAAAAATTAAATATTAATATTAATATTGAATTAAAAATTTCACTGCGTTAGATGCAGTCAGAGAAAATTATAATTTTTTTTTTTTTTGACATTATTAAATTTATTTTAGAAAATTAATAACATCGAATTATTATAATAACAAAAATTCATATTTATAATATTCAATTAAAAATTATGAATTTTAATTCAATTTCATAAAAATATTTTTTATTTTAAAATTATCCAAATTAATAAAAAAAAAAATTAATTCATTTGCAAAAAAAAATTTTTTTAAATAATTGTTTAACCTGATTATTTTTTTTCAATATCTCAGAAACTATTATATAAATTACATATAAATTATTGAAAAATACTATTGAGATATTATACTTAAAAAAATGCAAAAAATGAATTTTTTTTAAATCTGACTACACCTAACTCCTCAACCAAAAATTTGTTGCAATATTAAATAAAATTTAAATTCCAATCGTGTGAATTATATAGCTCTGTAAGTACCTGAGAAGCATTAGTATGATGATGAGCAGGCGGAGGTAATGGAGGGCTCTGTGTTCTGTGTGGTGGAACGAGTCCGTACTGACCTCCTGGTGATGGAGCTGCGCCTGGAGGTCCATGCTAACCAAAACCAAGCAAAGATTTGTGTTAATGCCGTACATCTATTACAATTAGCATTATTAATAAACCAAGTATTTTTTTCTCTATAAAATTTGCTAAATTACATTAAAAAAAAAAATTTCTAAAAAAAAAATAACCACCCAGCAAAGCAAGGTTACTGTTATAAAAAAAGGCGATTATAAAAAAATAAAAACTCACCAAAGCTGCTTCGTAGGGAACAGAAACCCGGCTCGGACTAGCATTAGGGACCATAATACATCCAGACATCGATACTTCAACTTTAGGTGGTTCCATCCCAGCGATTTGTGGTTTCGCTGCAATAGATCTCGAGCAACTAGCCACTGAAACAACCGCCTGTGCTCCAATAATGTGCGGCTGGGTAGGCGGACTGGCGACTCCACCGCTCATTATCGTGTTTGGAGCGACCGCTTGGAGTAAATGAGCTTTCGGGCTTGGCAGATGAGTTTGCCCGTTAATTCCCTTGAGATTGGTAGCCTGGGAAATGGGGTTGTGGATCCTCTGGACCGGAGTAGTCGCTACGTTGCTCGGATGGGCATTGATATTCATTTTCTGCTGCATGTTCACTATCGTCGGTGTTTGCTGCTGTTGTTGCTGCTTAGCAGCCTGGAGAAGATGCTGCTTGGGGTTCGGTGGAATATTCGAGCTATTTAGCACCGGAGACATAGGCTGTCCCGGTTTGCCATTAGCACTGCTGATAGGAACCGGCTGCTTGCCACGCGGACTCAGTCCCGGTGAGGAGACTCTTCCAGCAGGAATTTGCAACCTCAACCCAGACATGGCCTGGTTCGGCTGCTTGATGATATTCTGCACCGCGGGCTGACTTGGAGTCACCGGCTTGGACACCACAATCTGCTGAGCCACCGGAGTGCTGGCAAGTTTGCTGGGATTCAGCACGTGAGCCTTCAAACTCGTCGGCTTGCATTGACTGGTGGTCACCAGGTTGGTCGGCGTGTTGGTCAGCACAGACGTGGACACCGGCGGAGTCATCGTCGGCTGGACGACCACCGAGGAAGTCACCTGAGCAGTAGAAACTGGAACTGGAGCAGAAGCCTGGGACTTGGTGATGACACTAGGCTGGGTCTTGCACGGCTGGCTCAAGTCAGCAGGCTCCAGGTTAGGCGGTGCCTCGGGAACTTTAGCTTTAGACTCTTCAACAGGCCTAGGATGGGCTGGCTGCAACGTCGGCGGGAACTTATCTCCCTTATCAGTATTCGTGCGCGCTTCAACCAAGCTTCTGGGGATATTCTGTATCTGCCCGGAGGCTGTAGAGACTGGAATGTACTGGCCTTCTTCAGACTCCCTCATGGGAATCAGCATGCCAGTCACCGGGTCGATCAGAGTCATCGGCTCCAAAGAAGACTTCTGTCCCAGAGCAGTGGGTAGTTGTTTAACCGGCTCAGGACCTTTGACCGGAGTCTCAGGAACGGCGACAGAAGCTGTCTCAGTGGTCTCGCTATCACTTCTGGTGGTTGTCGTAGTAGTAGAAACTGAAACCGGAGACGGAGCTGATGTAATAGCTACCTCTGGCCTTGGATCCTTGCTCTTTTCTTCCCCGCTGTCTTCATTGGTCTCGGAAGTCCTCCTTGAAGTTCTCCGCCCGCCTCTTGATTTTCTGGTCTCAACGATCATAAGCTGCGGCTGGAGAGGCTTGGAGCCGTTGTTGTGCCTGGTGCTTCTTCGGGTGGCCTGGACACCAAGCAGAGCTTTGTTAGGAGTCGACCCGCGGACCACATCTTCAATAGTGTCATCAACAGTGGTCCTGCTGATGTCTTTCTCAGCAAGTCGCTTAGATTTCCGCGTGTTGGTCGCGGGAGAGACAAACTCTTCCGCAGCGACTTCTTTCACAGCTGCTACTGGTTGAGCATTGGGTCCAGCAGCTGCAGTCGGTCCAGGTGATTTAATCGTCAAAATAAGCCGCGGTCTACCCGCGTTGTCTTCCTCGCTGTCATCATGGAATTCGTAAACATCAGCAGGCAATTTGTTCTTCTCCTGCTTGCTGTTCCTCGGAGTACGTCCTCCACGCTTCCCAGAACCCGCTGTTCTGTTAACTCGCCTATTAGATACTCCACCCCGGCCACCTCCGCGACGAGTCTTAGACCTGACGCGACGGGAGCGAGGTTCCACTTCGCAGGAAGTTTCAACGCCTTCGTCCTGCTCGTCATTGTTGGAGAAGTCTTTCTTGCTATCGCCCTCTGTAGATTCAGTGTCAGGCCAGTCTTCGCCCTTGCTGGTGTCGTGGGACTCGCCATTGGTCTCCTGGTCATTGTGGCTGTCTTCATCATCATGAACTTCATCGTTACCCTCCCCATCGCAGAGCGCGTCGACAGTTTTTATGACACTCTCAATATTAACCTCCTTAGCAGACCAATAATCACTGTCTTCTTTACTATCCGCAGGATCTTCACGGGCACCGTCGATAGCCAGAGGATCGTTTGACTCTCGAGCTTCATCAGCAGTGTCTTCCTCGTCTTCTTCACACTTAGGTTCTTCCTCCTCATCCCGTTGTTGCTTTATCTCTTTAGGTGGTTCAGTGATCAAAGGCTCATCTTTCGGTACAATTTCTGGTAGAACCTTAGCAGGAATTTCAGTAGCAAGGGTTTCACTTTCAACCTTCTCGACTTTAACCTCAACCTCAACCGGCTTACTTTCTTCCTTGACAAGTTCAACCGGAGGTTTAACATCTTCTTGCTTGACTTCTGGAGATGGTAAGAATTTATTTTGGACGGTCGCTGAATCAGTAGCTTCTGTTTTAGTTTTCTGGATATCTGTGAATCTTTCTTGGCGCTCTGCTGGAGCTTCTGGTGTGGTTGGTTTCGGTTGAGGCGGTGAAATCATCGGAGTTGCCATTGAAGTGACACTCGTAGACACACGGGTTATCGATTGGGAGACTGTTGAGACAAGTGGAATGTGTGGTTTTATTAACAAAACTCCTTGAGAAATTGGTGGACGTTGCTGCTGTTGTTGACCAGCCATGGTAACTATAGGTGTGACTGCTGGTTTATCAAGAGCGACGTGGGCTTGAGAGAACTGGCTGACCACCGGAACCACAGTCTTGATCAGCGGTTGGTTGGGAGTAACAGTGGTGGGTATCAAAGAGTGTACCACAGACTTGTGAACCAGATGCTGACCATGCGCGACAATCACCGGACTCGGCGCAGATGTGTGAGGTGGATGGGTGGTCAGCAGATGAACGTTGGTCAGTTCCGGTTTCTTCGACAACTCTGTTGACAACTCAACAGCATTATTAACCGGCAATTGTTTTTGCCTCGGTGACAAAATATTCTCAGCAGGTTTGCTGATCGCTGGCGTGGATGTGCTCGCGGATATTTCAATCTTGGCCGTCTCGGGAATAAAAGTGGGCGGCTGGTTAGGCGAGGGAACCTTCGGCGACGTGGAGGCCTTGCTAGTTGGCTCGGGAATCACCGCTGGTGACAATTTCGGCTCCTCCAGTCGCTGCGGCGACTCGTTAAGATGACCGGGAATTAGAGTCTCTATAACAGACTTGCCACCAAATGCCATAGAGTCTCGCGGTTTCCCAGAGTCCCGTGGAATTCCCGATACCAGCGGGGGCACTGGCATGTAAGGTCGCGGTGGAATATTCAACGTCAGTGGCGGAAGACCACTACGAGGATAACTAGGCGCGAGTGCTCGCATTCCCGGTGCGTGCTGGATCACAGGCTGCTGGCTGGCTGCCGTTGAGTAGATGTGCTGGTTAGACAAGTCTCGATGAATCGGAGCAGTTATCGGAACACTCACTGGGATCCTGCAGGTTGTTGATGTTATCGAGGGAGTCTTAATTCCGTGAGAAAGGTGCGAGCTTATTGGAATATTCCTGGACCACTGTCCGTTCGGCGACAAAGCTGGAGCTTGTGAAGGAATCACCGTGGAAGGACGCGGCTGGACTGTCATAGTCGTAGGGACTGTGACTGATGGAGACGTTGTCACAGCGACTGACATTCTAGGAGGAGTTTGTCGAAGTGGAGGTACCATCTGACTCTGCAAAGAGACTGGAAGTCTCTGATAGAGAGGCTGGGATGAAGTTACAGGCGGCCGTGGACTTGCCGCTGATAGTCTTGGAGCCTCGTTGCTGATTATCGGCAGACTGCAGGGCATTGGCGGCTTGTACTGACCCGGAGGCGAAGATGGAGTCGCCGCTGGAACCCTTTCTCTTTCTCTGTCCTTGCTGCAAGCTTCTGCTTCTGGAGTCTCTGTTGGCTTGGGAGGCTTGTGCTCTTCGGTCCAGGAGTGAGAGATGACTGAAGCTGGCGGACTCGGCGACCTGACGGCCACTGGAGAAGGCGTTGTACAATTAGGAGTCTTTTCTACAGGAGTCGTCGTGGTGGTAGTTGTTGTTGTAACTACTACAGCCGTCGTTGTAATGACAGACTGCTTGCTGACCGGAGATTTGTAAAACGACGGAATATCCGGAGTCTTTGGCGGCTGAGTCAGATCAAAGGACTCGTAATTAGGATCCTCTTCAGTATCAGTATCAATTTGGAGATCGTGCTCGCTCTGAGGCGTGTCTGGTTTAAGATCAGCGTCTGTTTCAGCCCCAGTGGAGGCGTTCAAACTGTCAACAGCTTGCTGCATCTCGTCGACGTCTTCTTGAGGTGCGTCAGGCGGTGGTACACTGGCGCCATCACCCTCCGGTTCTTCTTCATCGCCTTCGTAGGAAAAGTCCTCAGTAGACCCGCCGAATGTCTCTTCAAGCAGCGCCGCAACCGCGTCCTCGGTTTCTTCTTGCGAAATAACCACGCGGGGCTTGTCCTCGACTTGCGGCGGTGGAGTAGCTGGTGCAGGTGGCTCGGGTTCGTGGTTCCCAGCACCGGATTGTCTTCCGCTTTCACGCTCCTCGGGTTCTGAGATGCTCTTGATCGCGTTCTCGTGGATTTTCTCATCAATGTCCATTCCAAACCCGGGGATGAACTTGTCCTTCTTCTTCTCGGACTTGTTCGAGACGATTGTTGGAGAGGTGACCACCGAGGGAGACACAGTAGAAGTGGTGGTGATTGAAGTAGTCGCTGGGGTGGACGTAGTGGGTGGTGTTTTGGGAATCGGACTGAGAATAGTGTCTCTAGAAACCGGCAACGGTGGAGGTGAGACTGTCTTGCGAGAAATGGGACTGCTGGCTCTGGGAGGACTAGGGTCAGCACCTAGATAAGGCAGCGCACCGGCTTTGTCATGATGGTGGTGATGATGGTGGTGGTGATGGTGATAATCCTTCCGGCTGCGCTCCTCTTTGGACTTCTTCCGCTTCTTCTTCTTCTCCTTGATCTTCTCGGGGGCAGTAGTGGGCGTCGAGGGCTCCACACTGTCATTATCGTCAGTGAACCTGAAGACGTCATGGTCATTGCTCTCATTACAAACCGCCGCAGGCTTGGGCGAGACGGGGAGGCCTAGTAAATTAGCTTCAATCTCTCGACCAGCTTCCGCAAGATCAACGCTGTTCTCATCTTCAATTTGGTGTCTACGTTTTTTCTCAGCCTTGCGTCTGACCCTATCAACGTCCAAAATAGGACTACGCATGCCGTCGCTGTCAGAGCCGTAGGCGTTATTTTCGGACGGCAGACCGCCGCCAAGACGATTGAAAAAGGGCGCTGTTGGCGCATCATCAACATCGTCTGACAGGGGGCCAAAAATATCCTCCATGCGCTGAGAGTCTCTGGCCTCTTGTCGGTTTAGTCTCTTTCTCCGAGTCTTGGCTTTGTCCTCGCTGGTTCTCTCCCTTCTTTTGTCCTTCTTGTTCCGTTGCTTTTTCTCGGCTCTGATCCGCTCCTCAGAGGTAACAGAGACTTCAGCCGAAGCCGGAGCGACTGAGGAAGACAAAGCGACAGTTGTAACAGCCGTAGAATCGTTAACATGATTAACACGACAGTCGGAGGTGGATATGATATTTTTACAAGTTTGTTCATTCCTCTTGTGCTCGTTACTGTCCGGTGATTCAATTTTAATATTAATGCTGCCTTCTTCACTGGAGATTGATAGCTTCTGTCGTTTTTGTTTCTTTTTGTGTGATTTTTTCCTCGAGTCACGCTGATGATTATTAACAGCCGGATGGTTTGAAGGAAAAGATACCACAGGGATGCGTTCATCATCGTCCGATGACCTTGGCTCCTGCTTAACAGTACGCAAGCTGTTGATCGAGGAGCTCTCCGTGGGTGTGTGTTTCTCCTCAGTGTCTGCAAACCCGAGGTCAACGTCACTCTCAACAAATCTCTCGGTTTTTATTTTATGGACTTTGTTATTGAAGGACTCGTCCTCTTCGCTGGTGTCCGAGTGGATGCGTGATCTTGAGCCCTTACGAGACAGCGATTTGGCACGAGTTGAGTCTGATTCAGAAGTACCCTCGTCTTCAGTTAAAGCCTTACTGCTGACAGAATCACCGTCCCAAGAAGTAGATTGTTTCTTTTCTTCTCTCCTGGCACGGCTCTGCTTCAACTGTGAAAATTTGTCTTTTAATCTGACCTGACGTTTTTCCTCCTCGAGTTTCTGCATATTTTTAGTCGACCGGGCTTTTACTTTGTCGTACATACTGATGTAAGCAGGCTCGTCGTCGACAATATCGAATATCGAGTGCTTCTTCGGCTCGTCACTGTCAGTGTCCGTTTGCGAGGGATGCCGTGTCTGCATCTCGTGATTCGAGGAGTGTCCATCATCATTGTCGCTGTGCAGATTTATCGAGACGTGATGGTGCTCGCGCTGAGACTCCCTATGGTGGTGGTGGTGGTGATGGTGATGATGATGATGATGATGAGACCCGCTTGTTTGGTTGTTATTCTCAACTCGATTCGGCGGACTGGCATTATTATCCGCGCGCTTGGCAAGTTCGATCCTCGAAAGAAACTCCTTGTCAAGTTCATGAGATACCCGCGGGCTGCGGTCCTTCTCCATTCGCTCTCGTTCCAATCGATTTCGCTTGCTCCGTTGTTTATCTTTGTTACCGCTATTACTTCCACCACCACCACCACCACCACCGCCACTACCACTGGTCGCAATATCCCGATTATTATCTCTATTTTCACGACTGTCTCTGCTTTCCCTCGACTCACGACTATCGCGACTCTCACGATTTTCTCGACACTCCTTAATTTCTCGGCTTGAAGATATAATAACATCTTTACCAGGTAATTCATTGCTGCCGTGAGACTGCAATGAGGGTTCTCTGCTCTCACGACTCTCCTGGCTCTGGGTCGACGTAGAAGAGTCTTTGCTGTCCCGATTCTCCCTGCTATCCCGACTAGTCCTATGTGAATCATTTCTGTGCTTACGATCCTCAGACCTCCGATTTTGCCGAGGCCTGTCCTTGCTATCCCGCCGATGGTCAGAAATTTTCATCCTCTTATTACTTTCATCATCCTGAGGAGTCTCCTGAGAAGAGCACCTTCGTTTGAGCGAAACAGGAGCTGGCGAAGAAACTTGAACCTGGTTCTGGTTCCCCATGTGATGATTTTCAACCGGCTGCCGTCTTGTTTCCTCACGCTCGCGCTTGCTATCTTTATCTTTATCCTTGTCATCGCGATCGCGCCTTTTGGCATGTTCCACAATCTTCTCCTTCTCCCGTTTCTCCAAATCCTCTCGTTCTCTCCTCTCCCGTTTTTCCCTCTCATGTTTATCCTTCTCAACCTTATCAACCTTATCAACCTTATCAACCTTATCAACCTTATCAACTTTCTCAACTTTCTCCTTCTCTTCTTTCTCCCGTTTTTCCTTCTCAACCCTCTCACGTTCTTCCTTTTCTTTCCTCCTCTCCCTCTCCAGTCTCTCCCTCTCTTCCCTCTCACGTTTTCTCTCTCGATCAATTTTCTCCTTCTCCTCCCTCCTGCGTTCCCTCTCGACTCTCTCCCGTTCTTCCTTTTCCCGTTTCTCAAACTCTTCACGTTCCTTCCTGAGGCGTTCTTTTTCCTGTTTTTCCCGTTCTAATCTCACCTCACGTTCCTTACGTTCCCGTTCCTCCCGGTCCCTTCTCTCCTGTTTGTCCTTCTCCTCCCTCTCTTTCCGTTCTTTCTCCAAGCGTTCTTTTTCCCGCTTGTCTTTTTCCCGAGCTTCAATTTCCTCCCGTTCCTTTCTCTCGCGATCTCTTTCCCTCTCCTCCCGATCCCTTCGTTCTTTCTCAAGTCTCTCCTTCTCCCGTCGCTCTTCATCTTTTTCCCGTCTCTCTTTTTCCTCACGTTCCTTTCGCTCCAGTTTATCACGGTCTTCTTTATCTCGCCTCTCACGTTCCTCCCGTTCTTTACGTTCGTAACGAGCCTCTTTGCTCTCTTTAATGTCTCTATTATTGTGAGTGTCTGTCGCCGTGAGAGTATCACTCGTCGACTCAGCCGTATTAAGACCAGAGGATGACGATAACGACAAGGATCGTTCATCTTTGTCATCCCGTTCTTTATTACGAATTTTCTCACTATCATTGTCGTCTTTTTTAGCTTTTCTCGAGCCGTCTTTACTCCGACTGTGCCTCGAGTCTCTGTTTTCTTTGCTGTCTCTGCTTTCTCTACTGCCGCCGTCTTTTCGTTGTTTAACACGCGATGGATCTACCGTCGACGTCGACGTCGTAGTTGTCATCGTTCCCGCAGTTGTTGTTGTTGCTGTAGAAAATATCAAAGTTGTCGCAGGCGCGGTTGTAGTTGTTATCGTCACCGAGGCCGTGGTTATTGTCATAGGCAAAGAACAAATAGAATTATTAATGTTATTATTGATTATCGACGTCGAATTACTAGACGAGGATGAAATTAACGTCGAATTACGACTATCACTAGCTGATGATGTCGTTATAGTTGTCGTCGCAGTAGTCACTAATGCTATTGTACTAATTACTGCCAAATTCGCGGAGGTTAACGCCGGGCCAGACGACAAGCTAGACGACATAGATGTCGATAATGATGTTGTTGTACTAGATAACAACGAGGTAGATCCAATGTTTGTCGTACGCGCGGTTTGAGCGGTATTATTACTCCCAGATGTTGTACCAAAGCAGCTACCAGCCGCGGTACCGCTGCCCAATCCAATGGGCAGCGAGACCGGTGGTAATTCTGGACTGGCTGTTTTTATCGAAGTTCCCGGCGTGATAGGAGTCGCCGGTACTGGATGCACACAATTGTGAGCCGCTGTTCTTGGATCAGTCTTTAGCGACGACGACACCGGTGTTGTCATCGGAGCAGTCGCCGTGGTAATTACAACAGACGATGATGGTATACTTCCAATACTGGAAGAGGACACACCAGCAGACTGTTGCATCGGCGGATGACTAGGGAATGGATACTGCAGACCAACTTTGCTGTTACAAGAACTCTGAACTCCTAGAGCTGGTCCAATTCCGGAAGATACTCCAGTCGCAGATCCAGTCACAGCTCCAACAACACCAGGTTTATTATTACTGTTAGCAGTGCTACTGTTACTGGTACTACAGCTAGCTAATGATGATAAACTTGTGGTGCTTATCAGCGAAGAAGAAGGTATTCCAGTAACACCGGTGAATTCACGTGGTTCATATTTTTCACTAAAATTCTCCAGTCTCTTGGAATCCTCGTCAAAGACACTTCTTTTAGCCAATACTGACTTAACAATGTCCGAAGGTTGTACTTCATTGAGATCAAGATCCAGTAATTTGTGACGAAACTTAAATCTTTCAGAGGCGGTCGCGTCGAGTTTTGCTAATGCATCACCACCAGCGGCACTCAATGCCCGTGAACCGGACCACTTTTCGTATTTCTCGTCGAGAGATCGTATTCGCTCTTCGAGACTAGGCGACTGTGGGGCTGTTTCACTGTCTGAACTCGTTGGGCTCGGACTCGGGTGTCGGGGAGGCGGTGAAGCCGGTGGTTGGGCCGCCGCACTTGGACTAGGTACCGATAATGATAAACTCACTGCACACGTTGGACTTGTTACTTTGGACGCTGGTGCACTAATTGTTCTTACACAACTACTACTGCTAACATTTATATTATTGTTATTATTATTATTATTATTATTACTATTGCTATTATTAACACTATTATTAACATTATTATTAATATTATTATTACTGTTATTAACATTAACATTATTGTTGTTGTTGTTGTTGTTGTTGTTGTTGTTGTTGTTATTAGTGTTGTTGTTATTATTATTGCTATTGCTGGTATTGTTATTATTCATCATCTGTGCAGCGAACCTCGGAAGCGGCAAAGAAAGCGGACCTTCTTGACTCCGTTCTCGAAACCTCCTCGGTTCACTTGGAATGATATTTTCCGGTCGCTCGTCAACGAGAGGCGTGCCAGGTCTCGAGCTGTCGTGGTGCTCGTGATGCCTACTGGAAGTGTCCCGTCGCCTTTTGCAAGGCCCGGGTCCGCGACCTTCGCAACTCCCGCGCCTGGTATTGTGATGAACGAGAATTTTGCTGTCGCTTACCCTCCTGACGTCCATGCCCTTCCTACCGGAGTGAGACGTCACGAGAAGCGAAGCTATTTCGGGCTCATCGTCGTCGCAGAGAATCGCCGACGAACTGTCGAGCTTTGGCCGTTTTTTCGGCGCGAATCCCTCGTCGCCGCTGCTATGACACTCCTCGAGCTGCTCGAGTAAATGCACCCGTTCTTTCTGGAGATGCCGAATGTCCGGCGGTGGCAATAGCAATGAAGATGGTACTGGAGGCTCGACACTCGTTACCACACTTTGGATAGCATGACGTCGGGGCGGTGGCAGTAAATCGTCGTCATTGAGTTTACTGTCACCCAGGACACTGCTCTCGTAGTCGTCGTGACTGGCACCGCTCCCTTGACTGAACTCGTCGTAACTTCTAAACCTCCTGGACGTTGGCTCTGTGTAGTCACCCTCGTAGTAAGGATCCGCTTGATACGATCGTCTGCTCGTCCGTGACATTGCTGTTGGGTGAGCTGGACTCGCTCCAGGTGTGCTACCACCTCCGGGAGTACGAGAGTAACTCGCTGTCCTCGCTCGTGGAGGTGTTTCATACCTGGTAAACCTGCTTCCTGCATTAGGCACTGTAACAGCCGCTTCAAAGCTTCTTTCTCGCCTGAAATTTATAATAAAAAATTTTTATTAGTTTCATTTTTTTTTTATAATTTTATTATTTTATTTTTTTAACATTTATTTAATTTAAATGATTTATATTATTATTATTATTATTATTATTATTATTATTATTGTTATTGTTAATAATAATAATAATTAAAATATCAGTAAATATTTGTGTATGTATATATATATATATATATATATATATATATATATATATATATATATATATATATATATATATATACGAATAATAATAATAATAATAAAGAAAAAAAATTGATGAAATTTTACTGATATTTTAATTTAAAAAAAAAATTTTAAATAAAATCAAAAAGTTGTTGATATAAAGTAAGAGAGGTGAAAATTCCTTGGAGACTTGTCGTTTAATTATACAACAAATAACAAAATAGTTAACAAAGTTTATCAAGGTAAATTGTAAAGTGTAATTGAGTTGTCTTAGTTTTAAAAAGTCGCGACCTATAGAGTTAATATGAGTATAAAAGTAAAGTAAAAGACTCACGCAACATCAAATGTCGCCGCAGGTGACGGTCGAGAATCCCATGGCTTCTCGCCTGTGACACCCTGTCTCTCAAGATGTTCGTAAAATGACTCTTGCAATTCCCTCGAGGCAAAGTCAACTTGCAGTCGACGTCCTCTGAGCGATGCACCTCTCATTTCTTTGACCGCAACTTGAGCACAATTCATTTGCTCATAAAATACAAGCGCGTGGCCTCGCTCACGATCAATTACCGCTTGATTAATAGGTCCAAATTGGTGAAATTGCATATTCAGGTACTTTTCCGAGACGCACTCGCCAATACCGTCAACCCAAACGCAAGTTGTCGGCATGGATTTACCAAACCCGAGTTTAATGCGATTCGAGCCAAGATGCTCCCCGTCCATCGACCTCATTGCCTTTACGACACTGCTGATGTCTGCATACTGACAGAATGCATAACTCGACACGGCTCCCTGTTTCTTAATATCGATTTCCTGGAAATAAATACAACAGTAATCAATGCATCAGTGTCAATTCATTCAGTACCAAAATATATACTCTTAAAGTTTTTTTTGTCTTGTCAATTCAAACATGCCTGCCTCAAGCATGTTTGAATTTCAAAATTATTCTAATTTAATTTTATTTTATTAAAAAAAAAAAATCCGCTCTTTTAACGCATGAAACGTCATTTTCAAATAAAATTCTAACATAAGTTGCAGTCAATTATATTCTGAATAACCAAATATAGATTAAGGAAAATTCTAATGAGTTTAAAATGAATAAAAAACAAAATTCAAATAAAATAAAAACCGAAAATCATCTATATTATTAAGAGATGTTAAGTATTTAGGCTGCATACGAAAATGCTCTATCACTAGGTACACAATTAAGAAATGACCTTGTATCTTGTGAACTATTGACATTTTTACATATACAAGCTCATCCTGATGTTACAATCATCAAGACCTTTCATTTGAGTACCCACTTGCATTTTTGATATATTTTTCATATATACATATATATATAATATATATAAATATATGGAAAATTGATGTGGGTACTCAAATGAAAGGTCTTGATGAATGTAACATCGGGATGAGCTTATATCTTTAAAAACGTCAATAGTTAAAAAAGTACAGTGCAATTCAACAAAAGTCATTAGTCATTATTTAATAAAGCAAAATTTTAATTGTCTATAGGCCACAAATCACAGTAGTCTCATAGTGACTGCAAGGTTACTAGTTTAATAATTAATTCATTAAAGAAAGAATTTTTATAAATCAATAAAAAATAATAAATTCTAATCAATTCAATGAGTTATATTTTACTTTAATTTCTTTAATTAATTAATTAACAATTTCAGATTAATTATGATTCGTTTATTTGTTAATTAAAAATAAAAATTTTCGTCATTATATTAATTTAATTATTTAAACTTGAGTCTAAAAGATTTCAAGTGAAGTAATTTAAAAATTTTTCTTTTCTGATCTTTAAAAATTCTTTGAAGTTTAGAATAATATTATATTCCTCTGACTAATTAACTGCAACCCTCTAAAATGATGATACTACTGTTGCCATCATTAAACGAGCGTTTGAAGTAATCAAATAATAAATAAAACTTAACAAAATACTTACAATGATCTCGCCAAACTGCTCAAAATTATTTCTAAGATCAGTTTGGGTAACATCTTTCTCCAGGTTGCCGATGAACAGCGTCCTGGTCGCCTTGGGATGATACTCATCTAGCTCAGCCTCGTAGGGCCTAAACTCGTTGTCCTCGACGTCGTAGCCCTGGTAAGGCGCGACCTCTATTTTACATCCGAAGAACAACTTGTCGTGTGAAACTTCAAGGGCCTTTTCGACATCCTCGGGCTTCTTGAAGCAGACCAGCGCATACCTGTCGCCAGCCGCGCCGACCACCTTAACCCAGGTTACTTTCCCGTGTTTTTTGTACTCGTGAAAGAGTCCGTCCTTTAGTGAGGTATCGCTGCTCCTGGCGGGCAAGTTCCTTACGCAAATGGCCAAGGGCCTCCTGTCGTCCGAGACGGCGGCGTTTCCGGTACGATGAGGAGAACTCCCGGGGGAACTACTGTCACCCGAGGTACTGCCTGCGGAGCTGTTACTCCTGCTACTGCTGCTGCTACCAGAACGACTTGACCCGCTTGGAGAGCTGCTGCCGCTTCTCGATTTTCTTCTCTGCTTTTTGTGCTGTCTCATGGAACTGCCGCTGTTCCCTCCGCCGCCACCACTGCCGCCGCTGCTGACTCCGCCGCCGGTTCCGACTACTCCTCCGCCCCCGCAGCTGCTGATACTGACGCCGCTTCCGCTATTCACTCCGCCACCTGACAGAAAAGCAGAGCGTGATGGTATGTCCCACGACGGTCTAATTGACGGCTGGCCAACTAGTTGTGTGGAGAGTGAGTTTATGTTCACGTGTATGTCTAGCATTCAAGTTATCACAGAGGTGTTTTAGTGAATTTGTCATTTTATACAATACAGTTACACCGAAAAAAAATTTACTTGAATCGAGTAAATCGACGGTCTAATTAGCAATTGGTCTAACTCCTTATTTTTTCGAGGGTGATTTTTTAACATTTTTATGTAGCAATAGTTCAATTGTAAATTATTTGAATTATCCAAACCAAAATAGATATTGAATAGTTTTTTTAATTTATAATAAATTTTTAATTGTTTTATCGTACAAATGGAAGATTCTTTAAAATGGAGTTGGAAAATTTGCTAATAAGAACGTCGAAATAATTGTGAAGAATTTTATCTTCTTGATTTGAGTAGAAAAATTCTTAAACTAAGAAATGTTTCTTGGTTTAAGTAAATTTTATCTATTTCAAGAATTTTTCGTCTTGATTCAAGACAATTAAACTCTTCAAAATTATTTTCTTGGTTCAAGAATTTTTCTCTTGAATCAAGTTAATTTTTTTTTTCAGTGTATGGCATTTTATAAGTTCATTTTAAAGGAGAGGCAAAACGGGGTTGATAAGAATTTTTCTCTCTAAAATTAAATTCGTGAAAAATTACTAATTGATAGTTAATAATTTATGTTTTTTTTAAATTTTAAATTAGTAAATTTTTTACTAATTAAAAAGTTAAATACCAAAAATAAACAAATCAATTATTTTGTTGTGAATTTTTGGATACTCTGACTTTTAAAATTAGTCAAAAATAATTTTAAAGCAATGTAGACTTACTAAATTTTGAATTTTTTTTAAACTTACTATTTCAAAAAGGAAAAATTTAACTAATTCAACTTTAGAGAGTTAGTTTGTACACATAGCTAAAATTTTATATTCGATATAGTTACTCTGATAAAAAAATTCACTTGATTTAAAAGAAAAAATAATTTTTAAAAGTTTAATCATTTTGAGTGAAGCAGAAAATTTTTTAATCAAATAAAATTTACTTAATCATTTTTTAGATAAAAAAAAATTTTTTTGAGTCAAGTTAATTTTAATATCAGTGTACATAAATATCGAATATAATTTTATGAAAGGAAAACTATGGAAGTTTGATTTTAGAGAAAAATAGTAAAGAAGTGCAGTGTTTTTATGTATATAGACGAAATTTATATAAATTTTATTTGTGAGTAAAATTTATTTTGCAATAAAAATGTAACAAATATTCAAAAAATATGTTATTCTAAACACTTATTAAGAAGAAAGTTTAGAATTTAATTAAATCATGCATTTTTACGTGCATTTTTTTTTTATTGATAGAAATTTTGATCATAATACTAAAGATGACAAATATTTAATAATTTTTAATGAATTTTTTTTTAAAAGAATAACAATTCTTTTAAAGGAAATCAAAAAGATGTTAAAATTCAAAAAATTCAAAAAATTGTATGCTTACATATTTGAATTATTTGTTTTCAAAATAATTAATTGAATAAAACTAGAAAAACTGTTCAAATATCTGCTAATATTTATATCTTAATTTAAATTATCGAATATGTTTGTCATTTTCAGTGTTTTAGTAAAATGGAGTATCTTCAAAAAAATATAAATATATTTTTTTAAGCAAAATAAAATCTTTGATACACAAAGCCCAGAATATTATTTAAGACTAGAAAAAAATTTTTTATAATAAAAAGTTAGAATAAAATTAGTCAATAAATGAATGATTTTTATTCAAATTGTAAATTGATATAGAAATCAATTATCAATAATCAATAATTATTAATTAAAATTTTTTGAATAAATTTAAAAATTTATACTGAAGTACTCCGTTTTACCTATACTCCCCATTTTGCCCCGTTTCTCAGAGAACATGAAGAAAGAATAAAGAAGTAAAAGAAAATAAAAAAAAAAAAAAAAATTTGACAAAGTCTTACCAGATTCTTCTTGATAATTATCAGTGGCGGCTGGTGATTGCTGTGGGGGACCGGTGCTATACCTCGTGGAACCCGACTCGTAGCCGAGCCAGGAAGACATGGACATAGCACCCCGATGGCGATCTAGGTGTGACGAGGGCGGCGGACCGGTGACGTACGAACTTGTACGCGGATATAACCGTTCCCGCGCCCTGGGCGCCGTCACGTGGTACCCGCTAGAAGGGGTCGGCCTACTCCGGGACATGTAGCTTCCCACCGGGTCAACCGCCGATGAGTCGACTGAGTGCTCCACCCGGTTACTTCGCTCCCCCGGGTAGAAATTTCCGTGGGATACGCGCGACTCGAAAGTCTCGCTAACTCTCTCGACGCCTCGCTCGCTGACGCCGACGTTGACGGCGTTCCCTGAGACTCCGCTACCGACGACACTGACGCCGACGCTGGTTCCATGATCCTCGGAATTTCTGTGAGCAAAACAAATTATTTATTAATAATCAGATAGTCACTCTAATTATTTCACTTGACCGGAAAAATATAAAGATAATAATTATAAGAACAATTTTTAAAAATTTGCATTAAGATTTTTTTTACAATTTTTAACAGGTGTAATTTTTTATTTAATCTTTTTCTGCCATAATTTTGTCGTAAAAAAAATTCTAATGCTTAAAATTGTCTCTTAATTTTATTAGTCATAATAAAAATACAATAAAATTTTAAAAATAATTTCATTTAAAACAAAAATGTCGTTCAAATTATTCAAATAATTATTTATTAATTTAATTTAAATAATTCACTTTAAAAAAAAATTGCATTACTGTCCAAAAATAAAGTAAACTTTACTTTTGATTAATTTCAAACTTTTCTTCCTCCAATTTTCAATCACCAAAAAAATGAATACCTTCTTCTTGAAGACTTTTTACTTTTTATAGACATATCTTGATTTTTTGTTTATATAATTTTTAAAATAAAAATTTTAGAGACACAAGATAAGCTTTCCATGCTTATTTCACCAAAATAAAATCAAAAATTAAAATATTATCAGCTTAATTACAATTAAAAAATTTTCTTACAATAAATAGGTAGTAAAGAAGAGATAATACTTATTAAATATATCATCTGTTACATAGTATAAAAATACTGTGAAAAATGAAGTGAGTATCTGTAAATATATATCCGACGGTATAGTTGCATAACAGACACAGTTTTAACAAATGGAAGCCTTACTACTTATTACTATATACCGTAATGACATGTAAGTGGAAAATATAACTAAAACCGCTTCATGGAAGTGATGAAGCCTAGTCGAGGTCGCAAAAATCGTATTATATATGTGTATGTAACGATTTTCACGATATTATCTTCAATGCACACATACGAACATCAATACCGATCGTGAGAATAACGAACACGATAAAATATAAAATAAAATAATCGAAATGCACTTGTGATTGCTTAATTTGTTATTAGAAGAAGAAATAAAACTGATAGAAGAAATAATAAAAATAATTTTCACTTGCCGATCGCATCCCAAGAGCAAACATGTTAGTTTTAGCATATATATGTTTTATGGATAATATGTATGAACTGTACATACTGTAGTGCATTAAGCGACATTACATTCCGAGCGAGGCACTGGTACATGTCATCGGTTAGAATAAATAATACTGTAATTTATTATGTTTTGACGGGCAACACGAGTGTTACTGATTGCCAGGTGTATACAGGATAAAATAAAAATAAATAAATAAATATTTGAATAATAATAATTATCATTTATGTGAAAGGGGTTGTATGTAGATGTATGTGAATGTGTCATGTTATTAACCGATAAAAATATTATTAATAATAACAATAATAATGGTAATGACGGTGAAGGAGGAGAAGAAAGGTACGATTGTGTACATTATGCACGTTGTATCAGTACTGACAGACATGTAACGTATGAAAACAGTCGATTCCAAGGCCATAAGATATTTCCAACTCGACATGATGCGATAACATATTCAAGTGTATGTCATCAGTATTTATTGTATGTTATATGTTTATATGTTATATGCATGGAATTTTTTTTTGTATTTTATATTGTACAAGCGAATTTAATTTTCAATCGGTTGTTCGGATTTAATATGTATGTCCGTGATTTGAAGATGTATGGTGATTTTAATAACAAGGTTGAAAATTTAAATGGCATCGGAGTTTCGTCGTAATATTGTTGGTTTGAGTTTTTTGAAGTGATCTTTGTGGTTGTATTTGATGATTAATTAATTGGGGTTGATAATGTGAAATTTTTAGTGCACTGAAAAAAAAATTAACTTGATTCAAAAGAAAAATTCTTAAATCAAATAAAATTTTTTTTAAATAAAGAATTTTTTTACTCAAATCAAGAATATTAAGATCTTTAAGGGGGAAAACCACGGTGACGATCGAAAAAAATAGGTGATTTTCGGGAATTTTTTTGACAGGGAAAATAAAGGAATTTGGGGGTCGGATTTTTTTTATTTTATTAAGGGTACATTAAAGATGATTACGCTAAATTTTTATTAAAAAATATTTAATTATTACAAAGTTATTAACAATCTCGTAGAGTACTGGAGAAAACGAAGACTTTTGGCACATCCCACAGAATTTCAGAGTAATTACGCGTCATTTCATAGTAACTCCCAAATTATCCAACATAACGAAATTGACTCATACTACATGTAGTAATTCGTGGATGTCACTTTTTAATAAATATAAACAAACAAACAAAGATACGTGTAACGCTTTGGTAAATTTTCTATTTAGTATACTTTTATTATCTTGGAAAAACCTTGTGATGTATAAGTTTTTACTTAAATATTTTTAACATTGTAAGTCAGTTACGAAGGTCGTCGGTTTAAGAAAATTTAGTAAGCTATTAGTGTATAATTAACTCATAAATATGTGAATTCTTGAACATTAGATTTCATAATACAACAACATGTTTTTGGAGCTAAAACAAAAATAAGTTATGACTAAGTAGCTTATGCTTGTAGATAATTCTCTTTATTATTGTCACAAAAGAGATTTACATATTAAAGCTAATAGTTGGAAAAATTAAAAAGCTAAAAAATAATAAAACAGTTGACCTACAAGCCATCCCTGTAACTTCCCGCTAATTTCAATTGTAGATCTGGTGAAAACTGTGCTTTGAGCTTGAAAATTTTAAAAATTTTTTTAGCCGGGATAAAACAAAAAAAAAACATCAAGAATAGTTAGAAAATTTTCAATCAGTCGCCGTTTTTTTTAAAAATTAAAATTTTCAAAATTCCATACGTGCGACGATAACTACATCCTTACTGATTAAAAAGCAATTTGGATTTTTATTTTCAGATGATTTGTTTTTGAGTTATCGAACCGACCGTGGAGGGGGGAAATTTTCTAGTGCTCTACGAGATTGTTAATAACTTTGTAATAATTAAATATTTTTTAATAAAAATTTAGCGTAATCATCTTTAATGTACCCTTAATAAAATAAAAAAAATCCGATCCCCAAATTCCTTTATTTTCCCTGTCAAAAAAATTCCCGAAAATCACCTCTTTTTTTCGATCGTCACAGTGGTGTTCCCCCTTAAAATTATATACTTGATTGAAGAACATTTTTTTTCTGTGTGGTGAAAAAGAGTTCGAGTATTTCGATTTTTATTTTAAATTGTTAGAAATTGATTGAAATTTTTAATAAATTATCTTTTTGATCAAACATTCAATTACATCTCTTAATCCTAAGTATTTTTCAAAATAACTACACTATTTATAGCCAAAGCAGATCTACTAACACTTTATCTGGCTAATAAATAGCTTAAAAATATTAATATTATCTTGTATAAATAATTAAATTTTTGTTAATGGATTATTAATCAAAACCATCTGACTTATATATAAGTGACATAAATTAAACAAAACAAACTTTCCTAAAATTTATTTCATCGAAAATAAATTCAGAATTTTCCATTGAAAAACTTGTATCAAAATTTACTTTATCTCTAACTAACAATTGTTACAAATAAAATAGTAACCCACAAAAATGAGCAAAACAAGCAACGAAATTGCATTAGCAGATTCAAAATTTTAAGTTTATAATTCAAAAGTTTTTTTAAGCCCCTAGAATCAGGACAATATAGTTTTTAATCCCACAATGCTTATTTTAAAAATATATTTTCAATAGCTAGTTTTTGCAAACTTTTTATATATATTTTAACTATAATATAAATATATAATAAATACATGTGTAAAATATTAAAAAAAAAAAATTATTTTAATAAATTTGACCAATTTTCCAGACAAGAAATGATTTTTAAATTAATAGAATTTTTTTTCTCCGTATAAATTGAAATAAATTATTATTTATTTTTTAATACATGTAATTCGTGTGTATTTTAATTATATTTAAAATTGTACAGCAATCAATCATCAGTATCGAGTGCTTTAAGAAAAAAAATTATTGTTGTTTATAAACAAATATGCTTTTAGCATTTAAAAAATAGTTGAGTCATACTTTATCGAAGTAAACACTGAGTCGATAACAGCAGCAATTTTAAAATTTAATGCGATACGAAATTGTCATGATAGCTTATCATTGTTATTAAAATAAATGATATTAATAATATATAGAAGACAATTTATTTCAAAATTACCAGTTCAAGTTATACCGTTTCCTCACCAAAATCTTCAACGCGAACAAAAAAAAATTATAACATCCACAAATTTATCTTTAGTTTTAATCATTTTTTCCCATATACAATTGTTTTGGTTTTTACTCACATACTGATGCACACATATTATATACAACATAATTTTCCAAATATAAAAATATCACGTCATATCATATCAAGGAATCGCCGGATTGGAGTGCGCAGACATACTGACTCTCTTGAAATAAAAAATGGCAACGCCGCATTGTCATACAATCAAACAGTTGTCACGGTCACACGATTCTAAGGTGAAGTAATGTATAATACAACATACAATGTAAGTGAAGACATGTATTACTTTGTCGCTCATAAAACTGTGCTCGATCACGAACGTGTGATTTAATAAAAACGATAAGTGATTGCCTTGTTCGTTAAATTAAATTTAACAATATATTTTTTATTTAAAAATACTATTTTTTTTAGATAAAAAAAGGAAAAAACAGGGGCCAAGTATCTCTGACACATCACTGAAGTTATTAAAATTTTATTGCAGACGTGGTATAATTGACGTGGCAGCTGGAAGCTAATTCCTTAAATATAACTCCCAGATTATTGTTAATTTTTTTTTTATTCTAGGAAGAAACTTATAAAAATTTCAGTAAAAGTTCTGCAAGGTAAAATTATTTAAAATAATTATAAATGTTAAGTGAAAAAAAATAAAAACTTTCAGGCAAAATAAGTGAATATTTTTTCAAAAGGTAATACAACACGTTATCAAAAAAGTGATAAATGTTTTCAGTGAGACTTTATCAAGGCATTGCTTCACACGATAATTATAATTTGTCAAAAAAATAAATTTATTGATTTTATCTTATCTACCACGTTTTTTTTTTTTTATCCTCCGGTTGTAACATTATGTTATTAATTCTAATGACAATTATTTGAAAGTTATTTACGAGACTGCTGCATAAACAAACATTTGTCTAGTATCACGATACAAATAGAAAAAAAAATCACACATAATTTACTTACTTTTGTAAAACGTTATAGTCAGCAAAATAATCAATAATATTTGTGTAACGCGGTTCAATATTAAATTCAAGCCATTGTTTTTTACTCTCCCAATCTTCGTCACTTTTGGAGCAATCAACCGAGTTATCATCCATGGATTTGAATTTATAACTACATAACAGCACTATGTCTCTCAAGGAGTATGTTATTGTAATGTCCATATTATTATTATGGGTATTAATTATATAGATTCAAAGGCATCCAAATTCGAAATAATCCAGGAACATTTTCACTATTTTAAACGATAACATTGTTTCAATATTAATATTATCATTATCACTCACAGTGAAGACAATTCATTTAACTTGTGGCTTAATTTAACACACATTGTCAACATATGTGTGGATATGTGTACGTGTGTGCTCGATGTACAGTAACTGCTTGTTTTAAAAGAAAAAAAAAATTACAGTGTACAATTTGTAATATTAATTTTATAATGTATTATATTTGTTGTGTTGAAGTAAGCTTTAAACCTTACGGCAAATTATACAGGACAAGAGAAGAAAAGGTGGAGAGCGTAATCGGGTCTCTACTCTTTACATCGACTATACAGCAATTAAGATAATAATAGTAGTAGGGGAAGACTAAAATATGTAAGTAATTAAATAAAATTCCGCGTTATTTTGTTATTAATAATTATAATTATTAATTAAATATTTAACGTTAAATATTTAACAAATACAATTAAATATTAACTTCAAATTAATATTACGTATTAATTATTAAAAATAAGTGTTTGTCCAAGGATATTTTCGGATTGTTCAAACATTTCTTCATTTAAGATAATAATTACACGTACGTTAAATTAATGTCTGTGCCGGTGTTTAATTTAATTTGATTGAATGTAAAGTCAGTTTGTTATTGAGTTTCAGTTAAATAATTATATCAATAATCCGGCTTCTGAATCTTGTAAGTCGCGTGTAACAAAAAAATTTAATTCCGGTCGTGTTGGAGGAGCCTTGTCAGGTATTTCGATAACACTTAAGTCAACGGAAGATACGTACGAACTGCTAAGACACGACGTGCCATCTAATTATTTCACACTACGTTTACTTTGTGACTCATCGTAATTTTAATACCGTAAATACACGCGGAACACCATCACCATCCAGTAACGCTATATATAAAGATTTACCTTCTTATTAATTGAGTAAAACTTTTTTGTATTTTTTTTAAGTAATTATTAAATTCCATGGAATAATTATGAGGCTATTATTGTTCGAAGAGATATGAGTTTTTTTAATGTCATTTTATTATTGATATTTAATATTGTTACTAAGTGTCTCATTTTTTAATTACTGGAAATTTTTAAGTTTGAAATTTTATCAGTGGAAATTATTTGAGAATTTTTTTTTTTTGATTATTAAGTTTGTAAATATTAAAAAAAAATTTTCATTTTTTTTCTAAATAAATTGCTGATTATTTTAAAATAAATTCATATTTTATTAATATAAAAAATTTTTAATTAAAATTATTATTAAAAAAAAATCATAAGAGACTTTTTTTTGTAGAAAATTTAATTATTTATAAAAAAAATCATTAAATTTTTTGTTTAGCTAGAATTTGAATTTTAAAGTCATTAAATTTTTGGAGCAAATATTATTGTTATAATATAAAATTTCTTATCCTTAATAAATTTTTCACTGAATATTTAGACTTACCCGTGTGAGGGAAACCTGTGTTGAATAAGTTGAGGTTCGTAGTACTGGGTTGTAAGGGCTCGTTCGTCCAGGGTGTGCTCAATCGCGTGAGCCTTCGCTGCGGACTTGATATCCATGAACGCCACCGTCGCTGAAGCACCCCCGCTGCTCGTCGAGCCACCACCAGCACTTCCGCTCCCGGAGCCCGTGCCAGAACCACCCTCACTTCCCTCGCCAAGTGAACCACCGGAGGCTCCGTCCACGGGGCACTCCTCGCCCCGGGGCAACAACTTGACGCTCTGCACGCGTCCATACCTAAAAAAAATTCATATTTTATTAGTATGAAAAATTTCAATTTTTTACAAAAAAATTTCAAACTTTGATAAAAAGTCGTAAAACTTTTAGAGCAAACAAATAATTTTATTTCTAAAAAATTTAACTTGAAATCTGGCAAAAGTATTTTGGAGATACAAAAAAAGACATTTTTTGTAGAAAAATTTAATTTTCTATAAAAATTTATTAAAAAAAATGATTAAGTTGAATTATAATTAATTTGTTTAATAAAATTAATCAATATAAGATGCTCGTCTATAAAACTGATTAATTTATTGAGTTTTTTTTATCAAGGTTTATGTATAAAATAATTATTTTTTTTCCGAGCCTGCAAAGACAATATATACTTTTATTTAGCCTTCCTATAAGGTTGCAAGAATAAATTATACAATTACTTAGTAACTATAAGTAACTGACATCTTATAGCCCCCCTCTTTCCCTCCATTAATTTTATTACTCAGCGCTGACTAATTATACTCTAATTTGCAGAATCAGGGATAATTGTTGCCAAGGGAACATAATCCGCTTACAATAAAATTTTTTTTACCCAGCAAATGGATTTTTTTTTTTATAAATACATTTGCGGCATTCTGTAAGAACGTAAAATAAAAACCCTCTAATTATTAATAATTGGAAAGTTTAAATGGTGTATTGTTTGAGGGATTAATTAAAAGTAAAATGTATGCATGTATATATTCTATATATGAGGAAGAAAAGCGAAGAATATAAATATAGAGAGGGTTTCTTTGTAATATTTCATCGAGCGTCATAGAAATAGAACATTGAAGTCGAATGAATTTTCTCGGATGAAAAATGACAAAGAGAGAGATAAAATGTAAAATAAAATAATAATGATAATAATCCTTTTTCAAGCAAGAACTTGGTTTTACGCCAGCGGACTCGGGCTTTCCATAATACCGGACACGAGCCGGTGAAATTGAATCAAGTTAAAAAAAGTTTAAATCAAGGAAAAGGAAGAGGAAAAAGAAAATAAAAATAACTTAAATTAGAGATTGAAAAGGTATTGAGAGAATGAATAGAGAAAAAAATTTAATGTAATGATTCGAGAAACTCACTGACTAGTTTCAGGATTGAACGAAATTTAAGCTAATATTGTATGTCAAAGCTTTTATTTACTTTATGGAGTATTTTTTTATTCTCCAGAAAAGATATAAAATATTTTTAGGGTTTTTTCATACAAGAATTTTTTTAGTGCATAAAAAAAAAAAATTCTTAATTAAAAATTTTTGACTGAAGAATTTTTCAAGAAGATATTTTTTTTTAAGTTAAAAATTTTTTTTCAATGCAAAATTTTCATTGAAGAAAATTTCCTTGAACTATTTTTTGAAAAATTTTCATTGAAGATTAGACAAGTTAATTTAAAAAATTTCTTCATTCAATACGCGTGCACCGATATACAGAATAGGTAAAGTCATCAATAAATATGCTATTGATATTGAGATTTTTGGAGGACCATTCGGTAAAATAAAAAGTGAAGCAAAAAGGGTGATTCTAAAATAATGACATTCCAGGTGTACAAATAGTGATAATAAACTATCAGAGATATTATATATTTTCTTTTCTTTCAAATTTTTTATAATTTTTTCTTTCAAATTAAAAAAAAATTTTTTTTTAATTTCTTAAATTTATCTTCTGTTTGCAGATGATATATATTGTATAAAATCATTATTTCTAAACATTCTACACATAAAAATGTAACATCTAATATGCAACAACATATTAAAAATTTTTAATTAAAAAATGTTTTCTTGAATCAAGTATTTTTTTTTTTTTTTTAATAAGAATCAAATAAAAATAAAAAATTAAGACAAAGTATGAACAATTTTCCGAATTTTCAATTTTGAAGAAAATTCTTTAGTCAAATTTATTTAAGAATAAAAAAATTCTTTTACTTTTATAAAAATCATAAAATAGTTGACTTTTTTAAAAATTTTCAAGGATTTGCTCAATAAACAAAATATTTCCACAAAACTGATTACAAGACCGTGCAGATATCAAAATAGGAGTAACTCCTGGAGTTTTTCCCGTGTAAGAGTGAGATATCGCGTTAAGGCGCGCGCATATTACACATTAAAGCAGATAATGCTTTACTTGAACAGAAAATAAAACTACAATGATAATAACGATGATGATGATGATGATACTAATGGTTATTCGTGAGTTAAAGAGACTGGAGGGGAATTATCTGTTGGATATAGCTGATGCCCGTGGTGGTGGTAAAGATTACAGTAGTTACTGTATGCGTGAGGTGAGGAAGGAGGTCGAGGGGTGCCAGTGCTTTATATATACTACTCAGGTCACACAAATTTAATATTGTATTGTATGTATTATATATATATTTTATAGAGAGAGATGGTTGCTATCAGGAACAATTTGAGTGGGGGATTTTGATCGGCTACGTGGACGCGCAGGCGCAGAGAATCCGCCCGTTCGTCCGACTCAACCAGGGAGTCACCCGTTTCTCTTCGCGCGAGTTACACGCACTTATCGCTGCCTCCTGATAAAAATTAAATCGTTTTTTTTTTTTTTAATTTAAAATCAATAAATTATTAATTATCGCTTCAGCGTTATGTTAATTTTGGATTTTTTATATTTTTTGCTTAAATGTAATTAAAATAATCAATGTGAAATTTGAGTAATGTTTATTGGAGTGATAAATCATTGAACATCTGGAAGCGAGGGTTTCATTAATTTTTATTATTACTATTACGATTAATTAAAACTCCAATAATTGCTTTGTAATATTAATAAAAGAATGAAATATTGATAATAGAATTTAATTATTTTAAATGAAAAAAAAAATAATATTTCTTCGGAAATAAAAGGAGTAATTAAATTTATATAATTTATAACAATGTAATATAATGTAATAGTCGTACAGGGCGGAGTTCCACATCAATGTTATATTAAACCGACACAAGTAAAGCACCGGGTCCCCTCACGAATCAAGGCGCTCTCAATTCTCACCACCGCGTAATCAATCCAATTAATTCCATTTATATTTGTCTCTCTTATCGTCTCTATCTTCACATTAATTTTCGTGATTTTTATTTCGATTTATCCGGAATTATTTTTCCTCAAAGGATTATTTTTTGTGATTTTCAATTAAAATTCATTCTAATATATTTTTTAATTTTAACTATTTAATTTAATGTACTTTTTTTAAACTATATTGGATTACAATTTAATGGATATATTTTGCCAGAACACCAAAATCTATTAGATCAATTAAGGATTTTATAAATAAAATAAAAAGGTGAAGGAAAAAAGTGGCTGTTGCAGTTGAATATAAATAGTCGTGGCACGAAAAGGCTTCGACGTAGTAGATACACAAAATGGCGGACATGATTACGCGATAAAACCTCCGTCTACATCTATATATATATACATCCACACACATTACATGTTTATCATTGCTGTGTTTTATTTTCCTCTATTACTTAATGTGTTTTTATTCTATTTTAGCAGAATTTTTTTGAACGTATAAAAAATATGTGAATGTTAAAAAAAATTCAATTATTTACTCATAAAAATTTTTTAATAAATATATATTTATTCTAAAAATATTTCCGTGATTTTTTTTTGGAGCGAAATAATAATTTAGTCTTTTTTTTGGAAAAAAAGCGCAATATCCCGGAGATATGTGTTTTATTGGAGTAAAAAATGAATTTCAGTGGTGGAAATCAATTTATTCCTCAAGCAAAAGCTTATTGTGGTGCTGAAACCGCAACATTCTACAAATAATATTTATATGAGAGTAGATGTGCTTATTTCGATGGATGATCTCTTTCTTGAGGGTAAATTATTTGTGATGGATAATAAAATAAAAATAGTTAATTTATACTAGCATAGAGAGGAAATGAAACAAGTTTCAAGCGTATATAAGAAAAGAACAAGTACAGTGCATAGTATGTAATATTGTACAGTAGTGAAGAAATCTAACCACTGTGATTTGAACTTTTCTCAGCTTGACGCATATCCGCAATCTTACTCAAGAAAACCCACTCGTAATCGCCTCTAGGCTTCAATTGTATTTTTTATGTACAATAGACATGCTCTTTGTGTTTATATATATGTATATATATATATATATATATATATATAGAATATATATATGTATAAGCACAAATCCCCTTACGCCGTGAACGCCCTTTGGAACTGCCACCACAATTGACGCACGCGTCGCTTGAATCGCGAATCTTAGTATCTCAGTGCTGGTATAGTTTTATATTGAAGTACATAGAAGTATAGAGTATGGAGTTCACATTTGAAGCGGGGAGGGCGTATTGAGTACGGGTAATGGTAATGGAACGAGTAGTGAGAGAAGTTTAAGTCGGAGTGGGGAGAATCAGGGGAAGTTCCGCTGCGCGCGCATTGTGCGGAGAAGGACAAGAACTTCAGGATGAGCTTTGGCTCTATGTTCTATATTCTCTTTCTGTAGTAATATTATACATATATATATGTAAAGAGTCTTTATATATTTATGATGATACGGAATATAAGTTTAAAATGGAGAAGAAATTAAATGCGATATGATATAAAGAATAAGTCACGGTGGGTGATTGGAAAGAAAACTGTCAACTCGTCTCTTATTCAAGTTTTTTTTATATTAAATTTTTATTTTAGTGTAGTGAAGATCGAGATGAGAAGATTTTTTTAAGGAAAAAGAGCTTATAACTGAATGAAAAAAATTTAAGAAGATTTGGATGAAGTTAAATTTTATTAAATGATTTTTTTTGCACAGCGCCTGATGAAATTTGAAATAGGATAAATGTGTACTTCAATCATAAAATTTCTTAGGAAATTTTTTTGAAGTTATAAAAAATTTTTTTTTATAAAATGAATTGAAAGGTTATTTTTTTGTGCGACTGTTTTTGCTGAATTGCTTTTTTATTTTTTGTATGACCCTTTTTCCTCTATTATCTAAGGAAAACACACAAGAACCTATCAAACAATTTAAAAGTAATTATTTACAATCAAAAGTAATGTCTTAAACTTTTTTCAAATAAAGAAATGTTAAGCTTGATAATTAATTTTTTCTTTACACATATCTCTAGAATGTAGTATAACTCACTTGTCCCTGTTCTTGTTTATTAAGTGAACTCAATATTTTGCACAGTAGTTGAAAATAAAGGGATCTGAAGAATATAAGGAAAAATATATATACACAGAGTTAAATTTAGCCACAGAAAGTTTTGTAAGTTTAACACAAATGCATAAAGCTTTAGAACAGTTGTAACTTACAACTTTATGCGATTACATTAACGCCAGTCTCTAGGTCAATCTTATATTAATCTTTTCATATTGAAAAATTCTCAGACTTTATAAGATTGATATGTATTTTTTATATAAAAAAAATTTTGCCCGAGGATTACTGCGCTTGATAATGACAAATAATATTTATATCTACCGCAGTAGGATTATGATTTGATCAGTGAATTATCTTATTAATGGATCAGTTGAAAATAAGAAACAGGTTGTTTACGCAGGTCATATGATAACGCGAGTGAGCAGCCGAGTTATCACCGAGTTTTTTTATCGTCGGAAATTATTTTAAATAATACTTGGAATCTCCTCAGCTGATTATTATTATTATAACGTTTACTGGTATAATAAGTAGTCAAAGTTAAAATTAAATAATAATAATAACTAGCAACCTTACAGTCATTATGTGACTGCCGTGACTTGTGAACAATAAATAAATAAAATTTTGCTTTATTAAATAATGACTTTTGTTAAATTGCCCTGTACTTTTTTAACTATTGACGTTTTTAAAGATATAAGCTCATCCCAATGTTACACTCATCAAGAGCTTTCATTTGAGTACCCACATGCATTTTTGATATATTTTTCATATATACATATATATAATATATATAAATATATGAAAAATTGATGTGGGTACTCAAATGAAAGGTCTTGATGAGTGTAACATCGGAATGAGCTTATATCTTTAAAAATGTCAATAGTTCACAAGATACAAGGTCATTTCTTATTCTCTTAATAATATAGATAATAATGAGGATATTGAGATAAATATAAAAGTACATAGAAAACAATGAAATTATATTACTTTTGAACGCATTTAATCATTTGGAATGCGTGCGTGAATTTCTGTATGTCTATAAATATATGATGTATTTTGTTGATTCAGAATAATGTGTAAGTGAATAATACCTGTATTGGCATTGATGACTGAGAGGACAGTGGACAGTGGATTGAACGTATGTAGAATGTTGAATGTAGTATGTAGTATTGCGATTGTTCTGTTGTACATCCGGAATTCATTTCCGCGTGAATTCAACAACGTAATTCTGGCAACGGCGATCTCTATCTATTCTGCCGGTGCCACGATAGAGATCGAAGTTGAACTCGAGAGAGATCATTGGACCGATAAATTTAACAAAATTCCGCTGGCCACGTAAGCAAACGTGTCACAGTAGTGCCTCTTCTGTGTGATCTCTATTACGCACTACCGTTTTATTGTTTTTGTATTTGGTATTGTCTTTTCACTTTTTTGCTTTTGTTACTATTCCACTTGGTGTAATTTTAAATAGGAAGCCAGTATAGAATTTAACAGAATACAGTAGAGTGGAACAGAACAGAACAGAACACGAAACACACTACGAGAAATCAATACATCGGCCAACAGTTGAGCGAGAGAATTCCAGAGCGAGATAAACTATTAGGGGTGAAAAGAGGAGACGCCAATCATTAAATCAAATATTTTTCCTCTTTTTAACCTATGGCTATTTCGTTATTTATTACCTTTTATTGTTCAATAAAATTTTCAATTTATTATTATTTGTAAAAAAGAAATTCAATGCTTCTTTTGAAAGGAAAAGTATTATATATCATAAATTGATTTTTTTTTTTGATAATGTTAATCGTAAATTTTATTACAAGAGTTTAATTTCGACTGACTTTACTGTAAAAATGTTAAAGAATTTTATTTTAAAAACCAAAATATCAAAATTTGTTCCGATCTATTGAGATTATAATTATCTTATGTGAATTTGTACAATATTTTAGAGTTTGGAATAAAGTTTCAAAAAGTAAATCAAAAAATGAATAAGTGTAGGTTGTAAATACTTATTTTAAAGTTACTGACATTTATAGAGTGATTTTGTTAAAATAAAAAAAGACAGGGTTACAGAAAAATACGGTGTAGTAACAAATCAGTTTTTAATACCACCAAATCACTCTGTTGTTTGAACAACAATCATTTTTTGTTGTTACAATATCTGTTTGTTGTTACAAAAAAAATTATTTTGTAACTATTCATAAGCTAACTTTGTTGTAATAACAGAATTTATTTTTTAAGTCCACAAAATTAAATTATTGCCCGGACAAAATTAATTTATTGCTGTTACTGTTAGTTATTTTAAAACAAAATGATTTAGCTACTTGCACAATAAAATTTGTTACACCAACTAACTAGTTTATGTTACTAAAATAAAATATCATTTGTTAAACAAAAATCCCTTTTGAAACAATTTTGCTGCTTCAGCTAAACTATTTTTTTTTACAGAAGAAAAAATTGAATCAAGTAAATAATTTTGAAGAATTTTATCTTCTTCATTTGAACTGAAAAATTCTTACTGAAAAATTTTTCTTGGTTTAAGTAAATTTTACTTAATTCAAGAATTTTTCGTCTTGCTCCAAAACAATTAAACTCTTTAATATTATTTTTTTGGTTCAAGAATTTTTCTCTTAATTCAAGTTAATTCTTTTGTCTGTGTACAATAACAAATTAATTATTAAAACCTATTTTTTGTCATCATATTGTAAGATTTATTCATATTATAATAATTTGTACCCACAACTTGTCTTGTGTCGCCCTAAAAAAATTTTTTCAAGTTTCCGTTTGATCCTTACAACAGTAAAACCTGAGAAACTGAAATTAAAATACCTAGTACTTTTATTATTGAGATAAAAGTAACAGAAATATCTGAGTAATGTATGTAACAATTTAAGTTAGTTTAGTTATTAAATT